ATAATTTTTCAGTTAAAATTTTTTGTGGAAACCCGGGTTTTTTTAAAGGGATTAATTTAAAACTTTGTAAGCTTTTCAAAAAGCAAAATTTTTTCGGAAAAGTAACTTGAAAGTTTTAAAAAAAGGAAAAGATTTTTGCCCTCTTCACAAAACATACTTTAATTTTAAACCACAGTTTCAAATGACCAAGGAAAGGGTTTTCCCGGAAAAAGGGGACAATTCTTGACCTATAATGAATGGTTTTTTCTTTAAAAAGGGATTCCCCAAACAAAACATTTGTTTTAGTGATTTTTAATATGAAACCCCTGAAAATTTTAAAACTGGCCAGAAAATTGGTTTTGATTAAATCTAAAGGGCGCCCAAAAGTTTGTAAAAAATGTTTTGGAAAACGAGCTCTTACGGTTTGGGGGGGGGCGGGCACAAACTTTTAGCAAAACAATCTCTAAAAATCTTTAAAAACGAAGAGAGCCTGTAAAGGGTTTTTGGGAGCCGTTGTGGGTTTTTTCCGGGGAATGATCCCCAGTTTTTGGGAAATGCCCCGACTAATTTTAAAAGGAAAATGCTATTTTTAAATTTTTTCATACAAAATGGCTTTTTTACATTTTTAATTTGGGGGATGGGTTTATCGGGCTTTTTTTAAAATACACGAAAGGGAAAAAACTTGGAAAATTTAAACGCGGGAAATGTGCCTTTTACTTGTTTAAAGAAGTGCACCTTTTTACTGGAACGAAGTAGTCCAATATACAGTTTAAATAATAGAAAGAGCCCCCGAAACAAAGAGGGTTTTCTGATTTTTAAAGAGGGGGCGTAGCCCCCCCCCCCCCCCCCCAGTATTTAAACAGTTTTCCGAGTGTTTTTGGGGTTTTTTCCCCTTTTGTTCATAGTCAAAAATAAAAACAATATAAACAAAAAGAACCAATGAACGAGCCCCTTTTTAAATATGAAATTTTTGTTTGATTTTATACTGGTCACAAATGTAAAACCCCCATGCCAATCAATTTTGGATGCCCCGGAGTGCGGGTAACTTTAAAACCCGCACTTCTTTTATATGTAAAGATTTAAACCCTGATCAAAAGAAAGGCGTAATTATATTTATTTTTCTTCCCGAGGGCGTTTTAGGGTTTTGAGTTAAAAAGGGAAAAGTTTTGTGTGTGCCAATCTTTAAAAAAATCAAACTTTTTTGGGGTTTAAAATTTCATAAAACATTCAAAAAACATTTAATTTATTTTAAGTGGGCACATGAAAATGACCACCAAACAAATATACTATTGAACCCTTTCCCCTTAAAAGGTACTTGAAAATAAAAAGTTTTGCCATATAATAAGAAAAAAAAGGAAGTTATAAGGTTTTTTGCATGAATTCATAATGAATGTGCACTGCAACACAAAATAGAAAATGTAAACAAGAGTTTTTCTTCGGCAATTTAAAATATAATTGTGCAACTTACCTTTAAAATACGTGGCGTCCGGTTTGTCAAACTCCTGGTAGTTTGCAGTGGCTCCTGGGCCTGACCCTTTAGATTCCGGGGCGAAGGAAGACATATTTTCTGCTGTTATTAAAATGCACACTTCTATTGTTTCCGACCGTGTAAAGGCAAGTACACGTTATCTGTAAGTTGAGACGAGTATTTCAACTCTGCATTAGATTATGTTTGATAAAGTGAGACAGAAACAGATATAGAGGTCACATTGTAAGTCGCGTAATCTTTTTGTTATATCCTAGAGGTCCCGTAGTGACCTTTTAGAAATTTACGCAAAAATAAAGGGCCTTTAAAAAAAATTTGTATAAACTGTAATTTAAAAAATTTTTTTTTCAAACCCCCGTTCCTTTTTTTAAAAAATTTAAATTTTAAATTTTTTTTAATTTCGTAAAAAATTTTAACGGCCCCTTTAAAAATTTTTTAAAAGCTACATTTTTTTTTTTTCATTTAGAACTTTGGGATAAAATAGCTTAAAGATCAAAGCACTAAAAATTTATTTCAGATAAACGTGTAAAAATTTTTTGATTTAAAAGGGTTTAATAAAAAAAATTCACGATTTTTTAATCAAAGTAACAGCAAACGAAAAAAGTGTCCAGACTTACAGAATACATTATACTGATTTGATATTATCGTAAAACATCGAGTCCCCGAGTTCAAATTTTTTTACAAAGCAATTTTTTTTTCAGGAGTTACGGTCTGTACAGGAAAAAGGGGTAAGCAAAGTACTTTACGGGGCAAAATTTCAAAAACAAGCCTTATTAAACGTCTTGATAGATTCCCGAAATTTTTTGTACCTTTTATAACTTTAAAAAAAAACAAAAAAAATTTTTTTTCGGAAAAAGTCTGAACTTTTGAACACACTTTAATAAAAACATAGTTTTTTTCGGGAATTTTTATTTTAAGGGGATGTTCAAAATTAAGAAATTTGGGTTTAGATTTCATGGTTTTATCAAAAAAATAACCCTGTCTTTTTAATCAGGTCCCATTTGGCGACCCTTTTCCCCTTTGCTGGGCGGAAATTCCTGTTTAGTGCGTTTGGGGACTTTACTAAATATTCAAAATAAAAAAAAAGTGAAACGTAAATCACCTAGTTTTTTTTCCGTTTTTCAATTTAAATATTTGTTTTTTCCCCAAAATTTTTTTTTCAAATTTTTCCTATATGTAAAGTCCCATATTTTAAAAAATACAAAAAAAAGTATTTTGTTAAAAGTTAACTTAAATTTTGGGCCATGCACCCCGAGCGAATCTACGAAAGTAAAAAATATTTAAAAATCGATTTTTTGTTGGGATTTTTTAGTGATTTTTGTTTCAATGCTTCCCCGGAAACCCGCTGTTTTTAAACATTTGGGTTTAAAAACTTTTTTTTGTTATCAAGTTTCATTTCTACAAACATACATTTAAGATTTTTTGGGAATTTTTTTAAATACAATATCATGGTGAAGTGGATTGAACTGAATGTAGTTCTCTCGACATCAGTACAGATTTTGGCGATGAATCCAAGATTAAATCTGTTGACATTATTATAAGAAAACAAGACAAAATCATCACAAAAAAGAAAATCAAGAGAAAAACAGAGAAGCTGAAAAAAGCTTGCATCAGGAAGAGAATCAGAGTAAAGAAGAAAATATGAGAATATATAAAGATGTAAGTGTGAAGCTATAGAATTGGGCGGACTGCAAAACGGTACCTACCTTCCATGAAGAAGATGGACATTTTATAAACATTAAGAATTACATTGACATTTTAAAAATTATTGAAAGCAATATGTTTATCATTCAATTTCAGTGGCATTAATAACAGGCTTACAATTAAAAACACTTAAATTATATATTTATTTTTTCTCAGCACACGCACATGGGCATTAACTGCATATTTTCCAAAATAAAAATTACAAACTTAATTAAACGCTCATCGTAAATATGATATCAGTGTATTAAGAGGTCAGTCGTGGGGAATTAAAATACAAAACATACAGACAGACCGAGATAGGTATTGTACAAATTGTCGCATATACTGTGAATACTTCAAATTTTCTGTAGTAATCGAATTCTTTGTATTCATTTTGTATACCTATATTTGGCCAGTAAGCTTAATTTAGTTTTAATGAATCAGAACAACATAGAATAGTGTCTTCAATCCATTATTATTTTATGCCTTTTATTTTATATTATTTTATTGTTTTTAAATGTTATTTGGCACCACATCTAACATATACAAAGTGGAAAGAGTTCAGAGATCTGCGTCTGGATATGTTTGTATAGTAATTAATTGTATGACTTCCAAAGTAGTGTGACACAAATGTTTTCTTTGTTGGTCCACCTTAGAAAGCTACAGACTCCAATCATCTCTGAAGTTCATTACAGAATACAGAAAGATCTCGTCTATATATGTAGATCAAAACCACCTCGTACCTATTTGAAATATCATGCACCTCCCTAATCCCTATAAGTCCCGTAAACGGGTATCATCCTAACTCCTATACTTCTCTACAACTCTAAAGTATTAGAAAAACCTCCAAAACCAGATCAAATCCAGCCGCAGCCTAAGTATCTTCAAGGACAGGGTTGCGACAGCTTCTCGATCTCTAGTCCCCCTATGTACGTATGATTAAAAAATCTTGCACGCATTTTTCTGTAAAATTTTAACTTTTTCACTAAAAACGTAACTATTTTTTACACAGTTTTCCAGAAAATTGTGCTGCAATAAATATGTGGATGCTGATATCTATATGAGTTGATGCCTACAAGAACCAAGCTTGTATACATGCTGCAATTAAGCTTGTATGAAACATCCACCAGTCTGATTTTTTTAACCTTTATGATATATACCCTTAATTACTGCTTTAGCTTGACAAAGAACCTATTTCACCCTTTTTATCAAATCACTAATTATGATATGTTAAGTTCCCCCGTAATATTTACTTGAACCTGGGACATAATTACCAATGCCTACATGTTATATAGGCCTGACCCTCGAGGCAATATCTCAGATTTCCAGTAGCATCAGTTCTTTTGTATGGTTAATTGTTAAATATATTTATATATTGCCCTGTATTTTCCAGCACTGGGGCGGGTTGGGGGAACAAGGGGATCACTGGTTATTATAATATTTATACTTAGTGTTGAAGACTGAATACTTTAAAAGTATGTCCTTTCAAGCGTGAGGTATGTTGCACTTTTCATTTTCACATTTCGACAGATTCAGTCAAACCAGATGTGTCTGTGATTTCAGGTCTACAAGCCCAGTGCTACCACGGATTTGTAATATAAATCCATGGTGCTACTGAGTAATTTTTTTTGTTTTCAATATTGTCAAAAGGATTTTTTTTCACTTGGTTACTAAATGTTTGGTTATAATGTTCAGTGTCTTTCAAAAGACCCTGGTTATAACAAAGATCTCAGGTTAAATAAACGCATTTACTAAATGGAATTGAGTTCTGGATCGGATTCAGGGAGCGTTCAGTGTTGAGATTCCGTCCAATTACGGATTTAAAAAGAGTAGTCCTTCATTGAAAGGCTTCGCATTTTCTTTTTTAAAGTTTTACAAAAATACGGACGAAACTGATAAGGGGAGGTCACTGCTTAATAGAAGAGTTACTTCCCTTGAATACGCCGGTCGCATCACGACTTGTTTGCCTGTTGCCAAAGGTCAATTATCACACCATGGAGGTAACTTACATTGCTTTTTAACATTTTATTGTAAATTCCTTTTATTACTATAGCATAAGTGTGTTTTTAACTTGCAAAAGTGTTCGATAGTATTATATTACAGGTTTAGCTACTTGCACGGTTTCGGATGAAATCAATGCCGGACAAATTTATATTTACCGTTTTAGTTAACTTACATAATTTGTTTTTGTTATATGAAGAATATTATAATACTGTAGTGTATTCAATGACATTATTGCATATTCTATTGAAAATTACATGTTTTGATTTAATCACATAGAAACAAACCTATAAGTATAATTATGATCAGATAAATTTATTTGGATAGATACAGTATCAAAATCTTGCCTTCTTGGTATATACGTTTCTTTTCATTTATGGTTGTTTTATCATATTTTTGCTTGTTGAGAGATTCGTATCAAGTCACTTACTTTTCATCAATAAATATTCAATTTTCTAACAATTGCTATTTTGCATGTTTTGAAGCAGTTTTCTTGTGTCCTACTTATTGACACTGATCACCTTGTACAATACTGCCTCAGTGTTTGACATTGCCAGCTTAGGAATGAAAAAATGCATTGGGCCGAAAAGCTTTCACTTAATTAAACCTGATTATTGTATACCTTTTTCAAGGCGACATAAAGGGGTTACTTTTGTTGGCGTCCCTAGCTAAAGCTTGTCCGGAGCATAACTCAGTCAGATTGACTCCATTTTAATTACTTGGTATTCATGCTAAATTCTTTCAATGACCCAAAGTGCAGTGCACAAGAATCGCTACTCTGCGCTCAGTGATTTTCCTGCTTATATAAATTAATATAACAGACTCCGATAAAAGGCCCTTCCCATTTGGGATTTTCTTTAAAATCATGCAGTTTTCCCAAAATGTGAACTTAAACCTGCTTTTTTACTTCCCAAATTAGCAATTTTAGCGATAATTTTTTCCCAAAATCAAGCGGCTAAGGCCTGTTCCTTAATTATGTGAGAAAATTTTTTGAGTTATTGCTCTTTGTTAATTTTCATACTTTATTTTTGTCCGGGCTGGCATTATTCCTAAACTATAAAAGCTATGGACTTGAAACGTCATAAGACAATAAATCTCATTAAGAAAAAGTGCAGTGCACAAAACTGATACTCTGCACTTATTATATTTGGAGTTATTGCCCTTTGTTAATTTTCATACTTTTATTTTTGTCTGGGTCATTTCTCCTAAACTTTAAAAGCTATGGACTTAAAACTTTATGGATGATAGATCTCAATAATAAGAAGTACAATGCTTAAGAACCATTACTCTACACTTCTTAATTTATACTGTTCACAAGGCAACACATCCGACTTGCGGAGTTCTAGTTGTAGACAAGCACTGTTTTGCAGACTATTGCTTGAAGACTGGGACAGAATGTATTGGAAACAAGCAGCTTTTGACTAGATAAGCAATCCTACATTGGCATCCAATAGACAGCCTATTAATTGATTAATAAGCATAGTGTTTAAGGATGTAGGAGCGTATACAAATTACGTTAGTTCAGTAACAATGTCGTAAACCATTTTTTTTAATTTGTAAGATATTCTACCGATAATATTAGACAGGCAAGTATGTTTTAATTATTCATTTGTGATACCCATTTAAATTTGAAGAGATAAATGTTCCTATCAATTGATTTTTTTTACGACTACAAATAACGATATACGGTACATGCATCACCGTGGCGCTTTGTTTTAAAATAATAATACCCAAACATGCGCCTGTCTACTTTCTGGCTACTTTAGACGAAATACCTCTCCAGATTTAAGAAACGTAATCTTAATAAATCTGTACCAGTTTCAGTTGTTGTATTTTAGTTGAATCAGTCAAAAATATATAAATATACCCTAATATGAAGGACTGAACAATCTTTCAAGCCTTGCCATTACGGTAGTTTGACAAAACATGGCATATATCTAAAAAAAAATCACGGTGACCCATATTTTTCTTTGCATATTTTTCAATGATATGAAATAGTCTCTCAGCATGAGAATTACTAAGACAATCAAAACATTTTACAAAATTAATATAAATGCTCCTACATCCTTAAATTATAATTATTATATATTTCTACTATTATTAATAAAAAATTACATAAAATTTCATAACATCAAGCTCTGGCTTCCATAACTTAAAATGTCATTTTTATTTTGATGTTGTGCGACAGTAAGCAGGTCTAGCAATACTATAAAAGTTAAAACCAGATGTCTATATAGCTACATAACATCATGCTTAAAGACCATTTGAATACAGAAGGATTGTTAAAACCTACACATAACACCTGGCTTATGTTTCTCTTATTTACACTGTTTACTAAAAGACAATATAAGCATTTCACAATATTCAACAAGGCAGAGAATCACCAGATGTCAAAGAAGTATTAATCTCTAGTTGCTTGTGTCCTTATATAATAGCCCAGAATATTTTCTGCAATCATGTCACCTGATTGTTATAGTCGTATAATAATGATGATGCTTTGTGATATGTTTTACTTCTTGGCAAAGCAGTCATAGGGAAATTGCAATGCATTTTATGATTTAGCCATATCATATTCTGCTAGGGTTTCAGTTTTGTGCATGAATTCAAGAGACTAGAACTAAACTTTAGATTATGTCAGCCCCTTAGAAATGGCATCAATATTTTTCTCAACTATCTTTTACATTTCATCATAATTAGCCAAATTTAAGGATTATAAGGGATCAACATAGCTTTATGGATGAAATAATTGTAGTCTGAACTGTCAAAAATATCACTACAAGCAAACATGTGCACACATTGTAAGAGGAATTTCGTTAAAATGGACAGAGAGAGTGAAGGTTTGGTGCATTGTGAACAAAACTTGTATGGCCTCGACTTTATAAGTCTGTAGTTTTTCTTTGTTCAAATTATATGGCAAATTCTTGATAAAACCTTTATAAATATTGTTCTTAGCATTGGTATCATTAACTTTAGAGTAAAATAAAATAAAAAGTCTTTCAAAAATTTGAAATTTAAAAAGTAGAAATAAGCATTAAGCACTTACTTGATTGTTTTTTTAGCTCAACAATACAAAGTATATGCATGAGAGCTATCCTATTCGCCCCGGCTTCCACTTCCAGATTAAATTTTTGATGCAGTAAAATATTTATCACTATAACTTTTTCATTTCTTAAGGTATCAACTTCAAACTTCAAATATATGTTCCTTATCATCAACCACATCTTATGTGACAATGTTCATAACTCTAGCACCAATATTGTCAGATTTATCTCCCCTTGAACTTAGAATTTTCCTGAAAAATATTATTTTTTACTGTAGTGTTACTTCTTTTTAGCTCACCTGTCACAAAGTGACAGGGTGAGCTTTTGTGATCGCTTTTCGTCCGGCGTCCGTCCGTCCGTCCGTAAACTTTTACTTTAAATGACATCTCCTCATAAACCACTAAGCCAATTTCATCCAAACTTCACAGGAATGTTCCTTTGGTGGTCACCTTTAAAAATTGTTCAAAGAATTTAATTCCATGCAGAACTCTGGTTGCCATGGCAACCAAAAGAAAAAACTTTAAATATCTTCTTTTAAAAAACCGAAAGAGCTAGAGCTTAGATATTTGGCATGAAACATCTTCTAGTGAGTGTCTACCAAGATTGTTCAAATAAAAGCCCTGGGGTCAAAATTGGCCCCGCCCCAGGGGGTCATTGATTTTCCCTATATGTATATAGTAAAAACTTAAAAAATCTTCTTTTAAAGAACTCAAAGAGCTAGAGCTAAGATATTTAGCATGAAACATGTTCTAATGAATGTCTACCAAGTTTGTTCAAATAAAAGCCCTAGGGTCAAAATTGTCCCCGCCCAAGGGGGTCATTGATTTTCTTATATGCATATAGTAAAAACTTAAAAAATCTCCTTTTAAAGAACCTGAAGAGCTAGAGCTTAGATATTTGGCATGAAACATCTTCTAGTGAGTATCTACCAAGATTGTTCAAATAAAAGCCCTGGGGTCAAAATTGGCCCCACCCCAGGGTGTCATTGATTTTCCCTATATGCATAAAGTAAAAACTTAAAAAAATCTTTTTTTAAAGAACCCAAAGAGCTAGAGCTAAGATATTTAGCATGAAACATCTTCTAATGAGTGTCTACCAAGTTTGTTCAAATAAAAGCCCTGGGGTCAAAATTGGCCTCGCCCCAGGGGGTCATTGATTTTCCCTGTATGCATATAGTAAAAATTTAAAAATCTTCTTTTAAAGAACTCATGGAGCTAGAGCTAAGATATTTAGCATGAAACATGTTCTAATGGTTGTCTACCAAGTTTGTTCAAATAAAAGCCCTGGGGTCAAAATTGCTCCGCCCCAGGGGGTCATTGATTTTCCCTATATGTATATAGTAAAACTTAAAAAATCATCTTTTAAAGAACCAAAAGAGCTAAAGCTAAGATATTTAGCATGAAACATGTTCTAATGGGTGTCTACCAAGTGTGTTCAAATAAAAGCCCTGGGGTCAAAATTGGCTCTGCCCCAGGGGGTCATTGATTTTCCCTATATGTATATAGTAAAAACTTAAAAAATCTTCTTTTAAAGAACTCAAAGAGCTAGAGCTAAGATATTTAGCATGAAACATGTTTGGTGTCTACCAAGTTTGTTCAAATAAAAGCCCTGGGGTCAAAATTGGCCCCGCCCCAGGGGGTCATTGATTTTCCCTATATGTATATAGTAAAAAATTAAAAAATCTTCTTTTAAAGAACTCAAAGAGCTAGAGCTAAGATATTTAGCATGAAACATGTTCTAATGGGTGTCTACCAAGTTTGTTCAAATAAAAGCCTGGGGTCAAAATTGGCCTCGCCCCAGGGGGTCATTGATTTTCCCTATATGTACATGTATATAGTAAAAACTTAAAAAATCTTCTTTTAAAGAACTCAAAGAGCTAGAGCTAAGATATTTAGCATGAAACATGGTCTAATGGGTGTCTACCAAGTTTGTTCAAATAAGAGCCCTGGGGTCAAATTTGGCCCTGCCCCGGGGGTCATTGATTTTCCTTATATATGTGTTTATCAAAAACTTAAAAAGTATTCTTTGAAAAAACCTAAACAGCTAGAGTTAAGATATTAAGCATGAAACATCTTCTAGTGAGTGTCTACAAAGTTTGTTCAAATAAAAGCCCTGGGGTCAAAATTGGCCCTGCCCTGGGGGTCATTGATTTTCCTTATATGTGTATAGGAAAAACTTAAAAAACATCTTTGAAAAAACCCAAATAGCTAGAGTTTAGATATTATGCATGAAACATGTTCTAGTAAGTGTCTACAAAGTTTGTTCAAATAAAAGCCCTGGGGTCAAAACTGGCCCCGCCCCAGGGGTGTCATTGTTTTTAACTACATGTGTATAGTAAAAACTTAAAAAATCTTCTTTAAAAAAACACAATGAGCTACAGCTTAGATGTTTAGCATGAAACATCTTCTTATGGGTGTCTACCAAGTTTGTTCAAATAAAAGCCCTTGGTTAAAATTGGCCCTGCCGGGGGTAGGGGAGAGCAGATCATTGTTTTTCATTATAAGTGTGTACATCATGAAACGTTTTCTTATAGATGTCTTCCAAGTTTGTTCAAATAAAAGCCCTGGGGTTTAAACTGGCCCCGCTCCGGGGGCCTACATACAGGTGAGCGACCTTAGGGCCATCATGGCCCTCTTGTTTTCTTAAGGGGTCAGCTTCATACTTTAAATATATGTTCCTTATCATTAACCACATCTTATTTCAGCCCCTCTATGGCCTTAAAAGGTCACTGTCAGGCTTGAAAATTTGTAATTATGACAAATAAATGTATAAATGATAAAAACATTATTTCAGGTGCTTGTTGTGCATGCCAAGTCAGGCAAAGAACTGGGAGCATTTAGTGTAAGTAACATTTATACTGTCTTTCTTAATGAAGTACATGTAAATGACTTGAAAATGTTGGACGTCTCTGTATTGTTTCATTTTCATGATATTGTCTGCTTGTACTTTTAACCCTTTTCGCTGCCAGAGGGTTATTTATTTATTGATCACCTATTTGCCAGAAGGTTTTCTAAGAAATTACTATATCATTAATTAATATAATTATTATTATTTGTTATTAGTATTATAATAATTATATATGTTTCCAAATCTGCTTGTATATAAATTATAATAATAATTATTGTCGATGGTATAATTATCTATATATTTATTATTATTATAATTATTATTACTATAATTATTATTATGCCCCCATTTCGAAGAAAAGGGGGTATATTGCTTTGCACTTGTTGGTCCGTCGGTCTGTCGGTCCGTAGACCAAATGGTTTCCGAGTGATAACTAAAGAACCCTTAGGCCTAGGAACTTCAAACTTGGTATGGTGATTGGTCATGACCAGTAGATGACCCCTATTGATTTTGGGGTCAAGGGGTCAAAGGTCAAGGTCACATTGACCTCTTGGGTAAAAACGGTTTCCGATCAATAACAAAAGAACCCTTAGGCCTAAGAACTTGAAACTTGGTATGGTGATTGGTTATGACCAATCAGATGACCCCTATTGATTTTGGGGTTAAGGGGTCAAAGGTTAAGGTCACATTGTACTTGTAGGTAAAAACGGTTTCCGATCAATAACGAAAGAACCCTTAGGCCTAGGGACTTCAAACTTGATATGGTGATTGGTCATGATCACCTATTGATTTTGGGGTCAAGGGGTCAAAGGTCAAGGTCACATTGACCTTGTAAGTAAAAATGGTTTCTGATCAATAACTTAAGAACGCTTAGGCCTAGGAACTTCAAACTTGGTATGGTGATTGGTCATGACCAGCAGATGACCCTATTGATTTTGGGGTTAAGGGGTCAAAGGGCAAGGTCACATTGACCTTGTAGGTAAAAATGCTTTCCGATCAATAACTTAAGAACCCTAATAGGCCTAGGAACTTCAAACTTGGTATGGTGATTGGTCATGACCAGCAGATGATCTATTGATTTTGGGTCAAGGGGTCAAAGGTCAAGGTCACATTGACCTTGTAGGTAAAAGCTGTTTCCGATCAATTAACTAAAAATGCTTAGGCCTAGGAACTTCAAACTTTGTATGATGATTGGTCGTGACCAGCAGATGACCCCTATTGAGTTTTGGGTCAAGGGTCAAAGGTCAAGGTCACATTGACCTTGTAAGTAAAAACGGTTTCTGATCAATAAATAAAGAACACTTCGGCCTAGGAACTTCAAACTTGGCATGGTGATTGGTCATGACCAGCAGATGACCCCTATTGATTTTTGGGTCAAAGCTCAAGGTCACATTGACCTTGTATGTTAAAATGGTTTCCGATCAATAATAAAAGAACCCTTAGGTCTAGGAACTTCAAACTTGGCATGGTGATTGGTCATGACCAGCAGATGACCCCTATTGATTTTGGGGTCAAGGGGTCAAAGGTCAAGGTCACATTGACCTTGTAGGTAAAAACGGTTTCTGATCAATTAACTAAAAACGCTTAGGCCTAGGAACTTCAAACTTTGTATGATGATTGGTCGTCACCAGCAGATGACCCCTTTTGAGTTTTGGGTCAAGGGGTCAAAGGTCAAGGTCATGACCAGTAGATACTTGATAACCCTTATTAATTGTTTGATCACTGGGTCAGAAGTCATGCATAATAACCTTATCACATGACTAATTGGCTGCTGATAGGGGGCATACATGTTTTACAAACATATCTTGTTATTATAGAAACTGCAAAAGCCGTCCATATGGCAAATACACAAAAATAATAGGAACGGCATATGCCGTCCCTATGGCAGTGAAAAGGTTAAGAAAACATTTTATAACTGCTGACACTAAATACTTATAGGGAAAGGAGAATTGAATGTGATAAGTAATAGAAAGAGCATCGAAACACAAGGCTATCTGATTTGTACAAGGGGGCGTAGCCCCTGAGTATTAATCAGATTGCCGAGTGTTTTGATGTTCTTTCTCTTTTGTTTCATTGTCAAACATAAAAACATGTTCCCTGTTGACGCAATATTAAACCCCGGGAAAAAGTAACCAATGAACGAGCATCAGAATATGATATTTCTGCCGCTTTCCCTTTCTCTGCCGTCACACTATGTAAACCCCAGCAAAAATGAGCCAATCAATGGGCATGCTCTGGAGTGCGGGTAACTAATACCTGCACTCCAGTTAATGCACTGTGCATATATATGTATACAATTTAACTCTGACACATTTTCAACAGAAAGGTCCCCAAACTATAATACAATTGATATGTAGAAGCCTTTAAATATAAAATAACCACATTTGGTTCACTTAATCTTTATTTTTATGATAAATAGAAGAAAATATATAAGATGAAGAATTAATGTGCTGTTTGTCCATTTAAAATGAAATATTTTTAGTTCAACATTACGGTTTCTACTATAATATTCCATCTTTTTCTTACTTTCAGGTAACTGAATCTACTTCAATTGGTGACTTGAAAAAACAGTACCAAAGGAAGTGTAAGTTTGAATTTACAACCATTTAACAGTAATATTGTTCTGCAAAACAGACCAAATGTTGTGATTGCAAAGTCAGTATCTGATATCTGTGAGAGGTACTACTGTTGTTTTCCATTATATTTTGCCTAAAAAATGAGAGGTCACTTAAGCATTTAGAATTATTATACCTCTGTTGAAAGATTTACTACATAGCCTCATGCCATGTTTTGTTGGGCATACCAGGTGCAAGGTTTTAGTTGTTTGGACGCCCTAGGTGCTTAAAAACTGTTAAGTATGATAAAATATATACAATGTCCCACCAAGGGTAGTAGAATAAATGTTCACCAGGAACAGAGTGATGTCAGTCTCAAATTGTGCTGGTTTATTACTGTTTTATTTCTGTTATTTACAGATGGCAAGTACTACCCTGAGAGGCAGTCATACAGAACAGATCCTAGTATGTAGAATTTATAATATTATTATTCTGAAACCTGCTCAATTTGTTGGATGAATTTGTGTTCCTTTCAATTTAAAATTGTTTATTTTATTTTGAAAAACTTTTGATATCAAATAATGTTACTGAGCAAAACTATAGTTTGTTGATACTACAAATGTGTGGACTGGCATGTCTGTATTACTAGGTGTTGATTGATTTACTTGTGTGTGTGTGTGTGTGTGTGTGTGTGCGTGTGCAGTGCCCGTGCATGTGTTTGTGTGTGTGTTTGTGTGTGTGTGTGTGTGCATAAGTCATATTACAATACATTAAAGACAATTTTTCTTGCAACAAGTATTTTAAATGTAGTTTATAAAATCATGAACTTTAATGGATTTGAATTTTGATTCTGGCCTTTTTATATATGTTGATATACAAACATTACCAATTGTATTTGTTTTAAATAGAATTATATATTCATTCTTGAGAGAAAAAAACAATTCTTGAGAGAAAAAAAAAACAAGTGTATTATATTGAAATAGAAAATAAAATAATGTATGTTGAACAAATATGGAGCAGTAAGTATAACAGATAATTAAAAAGAAAGTAAGAATCTGTATGTTTATTATTTAATTAGGAGGCAAGATGTTGAAGGATGAAGATAGATTAGGAAGTTTGGACCTTGGTAATAGAGGAAAACTTTACTTTAAGGATCTTGGACCTCAAGTTGGCTGGACTACTGTAAGTATATTGTATGTTAAATTAATGATATAAAACATTTATGTACCTGGAGATAACCTTAGATTTTAAAGCATAGTTTATTAATCTGATGAACATTCAATGTTGATAACTACTACAAGTGTGGCATGTTCATCTTACAATGAGAAATGTTAATATTATTTATGTCGCACGTTTTGTAAAGCATGAACCATTAACAACCAAAAAAAAGCCACACTTATATTGCTGATAATTTAATGCCTCAATGAATTATTTTATCTAGCCTTTAATATGTTGAACAAGCAACATTTAAACTATGAATGAATCAATTTCTTGTTTTCTACACAATAATCATTTACTTGTTATAATTGGGTTTTTGATGGAAAACAGTACATGTATCTTAAATATTTGATTGCTGCCTGCTCTTATTTAACAGAAAAGAAAGGTTGTAAGTTACCAAATTAGAGAAATGAAGTTGATCACGTAATATGCTCATTCTTTGTCATTAAATATTAAACTTGTCATTTTAGGTGTTTTTAACAGAGTATGCTGGGCCATTGTTCATCTACCTTATTTTCTATGCTAGACCATCTATCATTTATGGCAGCTTGGCTGACACTCCTAGAGCTACTGTTGTAAAGTAAGTGGCTGGAATATTTATATTTTGAAATTTATTAGGATGAAATTAACAAAGTTCCCCCTTGTGACTGAGGAGTTGCCTATAAGGATTGAGGCATCAGAATTGCTGCCACCATTTATTCTTGCCTGATCGTAAGTGGCGACTAAATGGGTTTTGAATTACTGGAATATATGCATAGCAACAGCAGTTGAGTTGGTTCTGACCATTGGTGTTGCTTTAAGTTTATAACACCCTAAGTTAGCCAAAATTATCTTTCTCTTTTTGGCGCCATATGACCTAAATTGTAGCCATGCACCGTAAAACCAAACCAAACAAATCAATCAGATTAACAAAGTTGTTTTAACTTTACTGATCAGTATTAAATGTACAGCATTATGTGAACATACTTTAAATGTAACTTAGGATGAATAATGCTTTCTATTAAGATATGGTTTTTCTTTCTCATTCAACCAGTTAAACAATTTTGCTGTCTCAAATATGTTTTTACACAACTTAGTTGATTCAAGTAAAGAAGTTGGTTGTTAAATATGTAAACATAGTAATGCTTGCATAATGGTAATTTCAAAACCATTATTCGGGAATTTATTTTATTTCCTTTTGTGATAATTCTCATTCTAAAGAAGGAGTCTGTTATCATTTTGCAAATACCTGGAAAGGTCTAACAATATCTATCAGTTTGTTCAAAAGCTTCTAAAATTATAATTTTCTTTTTTTGGAGCCAGGTTTTTAGTTAAATATGTATGGCTGGTATCTTTCAAGCTTTACTTGTGAAGGAAGACCTCAGGTGTCTCTCCATGCATAATTTCAGGGACAAGGGGGCACCTTCGTAGTATGTCTGACCTTTGTAAGCTTGTTTAATAGCTTCCTTACTTAAAATAATCTTATATTTATAAAGTTTTTGTGTCTTTAAACATACAATACATTTTGTTAATTTAAGTAATGTTTTCTATTTACAGCATAGCTGCTGGTTGCTGGTCATTCCACTATGCTAAAAGACTGTTAGAGACAGTGTTTGTTCACAGATTCTCACATGCTACCATGCCAATCATGAACATTTTCAGGGTAACATTATGTTCTTCATTAGACTATACCATAGCTATTTCCTTGAATAGTGATACAATGTTTTTAAGTGACTTTTTAAAATGTAAATTGATGTTAAAACATTTATAATCTCCTGCCATTAAATATACCAAGTATTTATATAAATTATGGTTTGAACACATCCTGCAATAAGGTTTTCCTATACTATCAACAGTTCATTGATTACAGAATTAGAAAATGTTACTTTTGATCAAAGTTTTTTGTCAGATAAGCTTTTCTGTGCTTTAACGTGAACTGTTTTGAAAGTTTACAAAATATTTTGGAATGTTTACAGAATTCATCATATTACTGGGGATTTGCAGCACTGGTTGCTTACTTTGTGAACCATCCACTTTATACTGTACCTTCCTATGGTGATGCCCAGATCTATGGCGGACTTGCTCTTTTTATTGTAAGTTATTTTAATGAATCAGGTTCCATGTATTTTAACATTTCATGTTTGACTGAAACATACAAAATATGAATAAGATATTGTATTTATTACACACCTTATAAAGTATAACCAATGCACTTACAGCATTTTGCACCATGTGATGCTCTAAGAGAAATCATTATTGGATCCAGTCTGATCTAGTTAGCCTTGTTTTTATTTCCACAGTCCAAAAAGTCCATATCAAATACATATTACACCCCATATAGCCTCGTTTTCATTTCCAGAGTCCAAAAGGTTCATTTCAAATCCATTTTGCACCCCATATAGTCTTGTTTTCATTTTCAGAGTCCAAAATATTTTTATGCATATCATACTCCATCTAGCCTCTTTAAGAGTCAAAATCCATATTATATTCATATTGTATTTGAAGTAAAAAAAGTTCTGTCAAAATGTCAAAAATGGTGGTGGTAAATTTAGAGGTCTGTAAACATGCTTCAGAACAATACTTATTCTACTTGACTAGGCCATAGCTGCAAAACCTCTATCAGACTCGGCTAGTGCCTCATCCAATATAGTTTTGACTGCTGTGTAATTGTCCAAAAGAATTCTGTATTATGCTCAACTATGTATAATAACCTCGTGATATTGACACAGAAAATAAAGGGTATTAAACTTAATTGATGTAATTGATTAAAATTAAGGTATATTGTTTTATACTTTCAGTTGTCAGAGCTTGGAAATTTATCAATCCATCTTGCCTTCAAGAATATGAGACCAGCAGGTAAAATTTTAAATATTCTTTTGTAGATGACTAACAAGCTATGTTTGTAAATTTTTTGGGAATTTTGAATATTACAGAAAATTGTAAACAACATTTTATGTGACATTACTGAAGTTATTATAATTGATATTAAAATCTTGTTGAACATGTATTTTATATTGTTGTTGATAGTAATTTAGTATTTCTGTTACAGCAGAATTATTTATCAAAGAACTTTTCTTTTTTAAATTGAAGCATTGAAAGCAAGAGCAGTTTCTTCAGTTATAGTGGAGGTATGACCAACTTCAAGTGGTTAAAGCGTCAGACTAGTAATCTAAGGATTGCTATCTGTGTGGGTTGACCGTTTCAAACCCTATCAGGGGCAAACCGTTGTTTTCTTGAGAAAGAAACTTTATACCATTGCACAGTACTGGTTTGTTCCAGGAACTGTCTATAAGCTTCCTACACAATTAAATTAAAATAAATTCTGTATAAACCACAGCAATGTCTTTTCAGTTATTTCACATTTAAATTGCACTGTGCCACAGATGAAAAAATAGTTATTATTCATAAATACATTCCAGCTTATCAGTTTGATTTTATGTATGATTCTTATAAGATTAATTTCATTACTCTCTTCACTTTATTTATTTAGGAAGTAAAGTTAGAAAGGTCCCCTATCCATGTGGTAATCCATTTACCCAGTTGTTCAACTTTGTGTCCTGTCCTAATTACACATATGAGGCGTTGTCTTGGGTTGGATTTTCTGTCATGACACAATGCCTTCCAGGTATGATATTTATATTCATTTAACACCAAGTGTAATGTAACTGATGACCTTTCAATGCTTACTTTACAATTTCCAATATAATAAATTGTTATTGAATACAATTTTTTCAAGTTAGACACATTTTCATATTTGGAGTCAGAAAAAGAAATCCATATAAAACCATGTTGATTAAACACTTTTTAGTCTCATTTTCATTTTTTTAATCCAGAAAATCAATATTGAAACCATAATGTACTTTTATTATATTGAAGTAACACACAAGTTACATGATATCATAAATTCTTTATCATTAAGTGCCTAGTTACTTAAGTAATGTTTAATTGTTATTGGCTGTATTTTGATATAATTCAAAACAATGTTATTTTGTGTACTATCCTGTAACTCATTTTTTTATGGTTTTATATCATAAATAAGATAGACAAATAAAGAGTTATCAATATTGTAAGTTCCAAAAAGCAAAATTTATTTAGATATTACCGAATTTACATTTCATGTAGATAAAGGGAGGTAATTAGAAATTTATTTTTTCCATAAAGTCTAAGGCAAATTTTTCAATAAGAAATGAATGCATATATATAATGTGTATAAACATTTGCAGTACATATTTATCCTATTCTTGGATGTTTGAAAATTGTTTTAGAGGAATGATTACAGACATATATACATGTAAAATTTCACTTAAGTGTTGTTACATCATTAATTACAACATACAGGATCTTTAATGTAATATATTTTCTCTTAAAAAATGCTGATTTGAATTAAATAGGTCATTTATAATAGGTCATTATTCTATTTGGCTCATACACAACTGCAGGATCTATATATCTGATAGATCCAGCTAATGCCGAGTCCAGTATAGATTAATGGCTATGTACTCATCAAATAGAATGTAGCATTGTAGTCAACAATGTGTAATATAGACAATACATTTTTATCAGTCCTCTGTTGTTGTCATTATGTACTTGGCTTTGACTTTTGTTCATGAAATATAAACTGTATAAGTAACTGTTCCTCAAACAAATTGACTTATTATGAGCTATAAGAATAGGCTAATGCTCTGTTGCTGTCAACATTTCACATTTAAATCTTAAACATTTTGACAAATAATGTATGTAGATTGTCTCATATTGTAAAGATATTGGAAATGAAGTACTATTTAGTTAGCTAATTTTTTTTATTGTTTCTTTTCCAGGCTGCTTTTAGTTCACGTGTAGATGTGGAGTTTCTTCAGACTGAAGTATGGGCCTATTGGCAAACATAAGAGATTACAGAGAAAGAGTTTTCCCAATTATCCTACGAGGCAGAAAGGAGTTTCATAACATTCCTCATACGTTAAATTGATGGCAGATGATGTTGTAAAACCAGAGTGTGACAACAAGGAGAGAAAAGGTGTGAATTTTATGTTTTGTACGTTTTTTGTAGTGAAATGAAAATTGTATGTGTGTGGTATGAACAGCAGATTGTAGAAGATCATGGTTCTAAGGTGTAGACAATAAGTATGGATCGACCTTTACTAAGCATTGATTGACATTAGTATAAGGTTTAATAGATCTGTTAAGGAGGGGATATGAGTGTCTATACAATGTACATTATTGATTTTGTTTTGCTCTCTAGGTTAAAGAATTTTTCTTTGTGTATGTATGCTGAATGTAAACAGTTCCAAGTAAAGTATCTTATTGAAATCACATTGTTTAAGCATTAAATGCTTACAGGTGAAGATAATTCACAGCTTTTATTTGTTTTTAGAGTTTTAACATTTGAGCTATTTACTGTTTATCATGCTTAAACAAGTTCACCAGTTACAATATTTGAACAATACACCGATAAACACTTTCAGAACTAGCAGACGACAGGCTATTCTTATCAGTGGTATTTCGAGTAAAGATAACGGGTTGCGTATCTCACTGTATAAATCGTATGTAAAATGGTCTGACATATGGTAGGTTTAACAGTTAATATAAATACTTTTGAGTCAAAAGATATGTTGAAGTTTATATATATTATTTTGTATTGTTTTAGCATAAGCGGTATTGATTTTACTCGAAGATAAGGGAATCAACTCGTATTTTTCACTCGATATACCTCGGTTATTTACATATATCATATTGAAAGTGTTTATGGGTGTATTAAATCTCTGTTTATCTATAAATTACTAGTTGATGGTTATTAAATGAGGTTTATGTTATGCTTACCAAATCATAATGATTTATGAAATCCTTTGCTCAAGACTTTTATATGTTAAGTGATAATAATTATAAACTATTAATAATTTTCTCTTTCTTTTTATAATCATTGCTTTGATAATTTCTATGATTGTGTCTAATAATAAAATATGAGATAAAAACAAGGGGGTGTTGTATTATAGTTAGTAAATGTGTTGTCATGTTTTGTTATGACAGAAGTTAAGACATAATAATGATTCCTTTCAGATTCAAGTTTTATCAAGTACATGTTTGTCTTGTTGAAATTTTCAACCTGTAATGAATAACCCAATGGTAACATAACATTAAATTTTGTGATTTAACTTTGCTCACAATCATAAACAATCTACTGAAACACCATTTTGTTGACAGAAGTACATTTCTTGTACATATCTGCTGATCTTCTAGTGGTTAATGGTTACCATGGAATTCAGAATTTTGGGAACTTCAAAGTAAATTCAGACTTAGTTATAACTTTGTGGTGTTGCTGTAACGAATGGTAAATAAGTACAACTAAAAATTTGTTTGTACCCAATTGCATTGTTTTATGCCCCGGTCATTAAAGGAGGTACATAAAGTGTACATGGGTAGGGTTAGTGAGTGTTGTCTATAAATTCTTCATCTGCAATTCCAAAATAAATAGTTACACAAGATCACTACAAGTAGATGATGTGTACATTGAGACCCAGAAGCTGAATGAAAAATCACAATAGGGGTTTGAACTTGGTGTATTTTGCTAAAAGTCTTGCATGCATTTGGAATAGAAAATGAAATGGTACTTAAGTAGATGATGTGATGTTAAAGTCAAGGGCATAGAAAATGATTAACTTTGGTGTTCTTGTCCTATAGTCTGAAGTGCTGTTAGAGTTTGATCACAATATTTTATCACCATAGAGATGATTTGTTGTGTGCAGGTCAGGTTGATGAAAGTGATTGACCTTACTATTTTGTAGTGTAAGTCACAAGTGCAGCTGAAGTGTTTGGTCTGTACTTAGCATGCATGACAAGATTATAAGAAAAACTGGTAAAAATGATAACCTTAAGAAAGATAATGTGTTTTGTGCAGGACACATGTCTACACCTTCAAGGTCAAGGTTGATGGCACATGGATTATCAAATGTCTTCCCACAGCCAGATGTGTCTCATGCAAAATTTTTACAGGAGTTATTGCGTTCACCTCAGTCAAGCAAAAAGTTTTGTGTAAGACTCGTGTCAGCTTTTTTAATGTCAAGGATGAACTTGAAGGTCAAAGTTCAAATTTTATTTTTCTCTGGCTTATTTTAAACAGATTGTCAAAACATTTCATCAGGGTCAAACAAATTATTGCATCACTGTCCAAAGATTTATCTGAAGGTAAAAATGTCATATTGCGGGTAAACTGTGTATTTTAAATGAACATGTTTTTTAGTGTAACTAAGTTTGTATGTAAAAAAGAAAAAAGTTTTTATCACACACCCGTGCCGATTTTGCGACTCCGTAAAAATGGTATTGCATGGCCGTGCATATATTTTGATGTGACATCATTATCATTATACAAACATGTGTAATGATGCGCTAAATGTTAGCATTATACTATAGGCCCGTCAATGAAAAATTACTATTTTTTCACTTTAATCTGTTAATTTTGGATATGTGATAAATAGAATATTAAATTTGTGCGAGTTCATTACTGAATTTATTGAACTTGTTGAATAAAATAATATTACAAGGCTCGCAAGAGTCAATCAAAATATAATTTTATTCAAATTGTGCAATAAATTTAGTATTGAATTTACACTCATTCAATATTTTCTATGTATGTACTCTATATATCAGGCCATATTGGCTAACATTGATAAATTTAAAGAAATAAAATATAAATCATTGTATTAAAGATATGCTAAGATTTATCATTTAAAATGTTCACTTCCAATTATTGCATGAAAACAGCTAAAGATAATTGGCCACTATAAAAAAAATCATACAACTGGTTATTTTGTATCAATGCAATGCCAAAAAACTATTTTTTTCCTAAAATTCTACTTGTTCATCAAACATGATGTACATGAGTCAAACTTGCTTGTAAATTCTTATTTTATACTTTATAAAGTCATTACACAGGCATAAAGAACTTTAATCAAGCTGTCCATGTCAAAAGTAGCTGTAAAGAGCAATTGGGAATATCAAAATTGTTTATGTCAAATAATCTGAACAATGATCTTCCGGTACTTGAGTTCTTATTCTAACATGACCAACATTTTTCCTTATTGAACATAGAAGGAATGAAAGTGTGTGTAAATATGCGATAAAATCACTGTTGATGATCTATTTTTGGACATGGGACATAACCATTAAAATTGTGACATTCCGAAATTGGAACGAAAACAAATAAGGCACAATTTAGCTTGATATCAGGTACAGCAGCATTTATTTGTTGTTGTGTTCGAATCAAAATAATATATCCCAAGCAGTGATGTTATCACTTGATTAAATCACCGTTTGTGGTTTGGATGTGCAGCATTATATCACTTGGGCTATGCTCTTGTGATATAATTCTTCGCATCCAAACTCTGAAACTGATTTTATTGTGTCGCCTTTTTCTGTCGCATTGAAAAAGGCGACATACAGGGGTTACTTTTGACGGCGGTGTCGGCTTCGTTGTTGGCGTCGTTGTCCCCTTAAGTTTGTCCAGAGCATAAGTCAGTCGTTATAAGTTGCATTGACTTCAAACTTGGTATGCATGCTTCTTATAATGACCCGAAGTGCAGTGCACAAGGACTGGTACTCTGCACTTCTTAATTTTTAGCTCACCTGTCACAAAGTGACAGGGTGAGCTTTTGTGATCGCTTTTTGTCCGGCCGTAAACTTTTGCTTCAAATGACATCTCCCCATAAACCACTAAGCCAATTTCATCTAAACTTCACAGGAATGTTCCTTTGGTGGTCACCTTTAAAAATTGTTCAAAGAATTTAATTCCATGCAGAACTGTGGTTGCCATGGCAACCGAAAGAAAAAACTTTAAATATCTTTTTTTAAAGAACCCAATGAGCTAGAGCTTAGATATTTGGCATGAAACATCTTCTAATGAGTGTCTACCAAGTTTGTTCAAATAAAAGCCCTGGGGTCAAAATTGGCCCCGCCCCAGGGGGGTCATTGATTTTCCCTATATGCATATAGTAAAAACTTAAAAAATCTTCTTTAAAGAACCCAAAGAGCTAGAGCTTAGATATTTGGCTTGAAAGATCTTCTAATGAGTGTCTACCTAGTTTGTTCAAATAAAAGCCCTGGGGTAAAAATTGGCCCCGCCCCAGGGGGTCATTGCAGATTTTCCCTATATGCATATAGTAAAAACTTAAAAAATCTTCTTTGAAAAAACCCAAATAGCTACAGTTTAGATATTTAGCATGAAACATCTTCTAATAAGTGTCTACAAAGTTTTTTCAAATAAAAGCCCTGGGGTCAAAACTGGCCCCGCCCCAGGGGTGTCATTGTTTTTAACTATATGTGTATAGTAAAAACTTAAAAAGTCTTCTTTTAAAAAAACCAATGAGCTAGAGCTTAGATGTTTAGCATGAAACATCTTCAAATAAAAGCCCTTGGGTTAAAATTTACTCTCTGCCGGGGGGGGGGGGGGGGGGGGGGGTGGGGCGGAAGAAGGTCATTGTTTTTCCTAATATGTGTATAGCAAAAACTTAACATCATGAAACATCTTCTAATGGGTGTCTTAATTCCAAGTGTGTTCAAATAAAAGCCCTTGGGTTTAAACTGGCCCTGCTTAGGGGGCCTATATACAGGTGAGCGACCTCAGGGCCATCATGGCCCTCTTGTTAAGTTATTGCCCTTTGTTAATTTTCATACTTTATTTTTGTCTGGGCCATTTCTCCTAATGTATAAAAGCTATGGACTTGAAACTTCATAGGATGATAGATCTCATTAAGAAGAAGTGCAGTGCACAAGAACCGGTGCTCTGCACTTCTTATTTTTTGAGTTATTGCCCTTTGTTAATTTTCATACTTTATTTTTGTCTGGGCCATTTCTCCTTAAGTATAAAAGCTATGGATTTGAAACTTCATAGGATGATAGATCTCATTGAGAAAAAGTGCAGTGCACAAGAACCGGTACTCTGCATTTCATATTTTTTGAGTTATTGCCCTTTGTTATTTTCATACTTTATTTTTGTCCAGGCCATTTCTCCTAAAATATAAAAGCTATGGACATGAAACTTCATAGGATGATAGATCTCATTAAGAAGAAGTGCAGTGCTCAAGAACTGCTGTTCTACATTTCTTATTTTTTGAATTATTGCCCTTTGTTAATTTTCATATTTCATTTTTGTCCTGGCCATTTCTCCTAAACTATATTGTTCACAAGGCGACACATCCGACTCGCGGAGTTCTAGTTTAGCTATAAAGTCACTGTTGGGCCGAAATATTATTTCTTAAGTAGATACAGCCATAAAAAAAAGAACAATTCTTGAAAATAAATAGATAATCATTTATTTTTATCTCAATGTATACACCGTCAAATATACTTAAAATTTATACTCATGTAAACTTGCAATATTAAACCAAAATAAGGACGGGTAAAAATATCACAGATTTATAAAAATAATAAAACAAATGAAGCATTTATTCATTAAGGAAGTTTACCACAATCTACAAGATAAAAGTTATATGATAAACTACAGTCACAATAGCATCATGTCAATATTGAACAATAGGAGATCAACACTCGATGTATGCTTACCATAAACATTACAGTCATATCAGGGGAAAAAGAAAGAGGAGTGTTATGTTCCTACCTCCAACACAAAGTTTTGTATGTAGAAAAATACATATAATACAGTATCTTCAACTTAAAATTCCCTCTAGATGATCATTTTAATAAAAGATCAACAAAACATTAACTGTTAATGGTATGATTTTTCATATTTAATACAATGAACATATTTTCATAAATCTTAAACGCCAAAGTTAAATTCACATATAAGTTACACTAGTTTCTATAAACAAATAAAGTATTCATTGTAATTTTTCATAAAGACAAAAAAAAAAATCTGAAACATTATTGGGAATAAATCAAGAACATCATCAACTGATAACTGGTAAAATTTCTCTTTTTCCAAAATACTTTATAACAATGAAAGTAAAAATGTTTTGACAATAATTTCCAGATTTTACACTTAATGAGTTTATTAAAATCAATACTTCCTTGAAACAAGTGCAGTTAAAATGTCTTAAGGTGATTATTATGCTGAAGATTCTACTGCTTGCATAGGTGGCAGTTTAGTTGAGGAACCAGGACGAGAACCTGTTTCCATTTCCATTCTTAACTTTCTGATTTCAAATTTCTGCATGTCTATAATTTTGTTTTTCTCTTCTAATTCATTTTCAACCAAGGCATTTGGTGCTTTCAGCATTACAGCATAGATGTCTCCATCTTCCCCACCTGTTCTCTTTGAATATTGTTTAACTGTAGCCTCTAGGTCATGAATCATTGTTCTTGCTATCTTCAATTCTTTACGCAAATCATTGATTTCTTTGATAAGGGAAACATTTTCCTGAAAAAGTTGATGATTCAATATATGTTTCAAGTGTTTAATGAAAGGTTTGACTTGAAATAAAAGCTTAAAGTACAAATGTAATGTGTGTAATTGTTTTGAATTAAATTTCAGTCTTAAAACTATCAATAATACATGAGCATTGAATTTTTGCATACCATGGCTAATTTATTAACTATAATGATAAAATTTAGTGTTAGAATATCTCATATTTAGCACAAACTGTCTCGTGCATAAAATTACAAGCCCATGCAGACAATGAGACATTTTACCTGCATAATCCTAACATTGTCAGCTCTGTGTATTTCTGAATCCTTAGCCAGTTTTTTACGAAGAGAGGCGACAGATCTTTCAAGATGTTCTCTCTGACGGCTGTATTCCTTCTGAATGTCAGCATCAACACTAGCAGACTCAGTCTGTTTGTAAATTGAATGTCAATATGTTGGTTTTTATAGTAAAGAAAAGTTAGTTATGTAAACAATTCAAAATGATGAAAGTTATAAGTTCCATTCAGTTCTTATTCAGTGCACAAGATTATAATAGAAATATATGTGAAACATTACAATTCTTGAGCAACTTCATGAAATTAAATCAATATTTAACATATGATTCAGCATTAAATGTAGTCAATAGACCAACAATTAAACTAAAAGTACTTATTCAGTAGTAATTACTGTTTAATTCATTCATATAACATATAATGTTACAGTTCGGATCAGAATATCCATCCCGAGGGTACCAGCCCATTGGGCGGTAAGAAGACTTGGTGAAAATACAGCATTACCATCATTATTTGTAAAAAAGCCTGAAATGAAACTGATAAAGTAGTGCAGGACTTCAAGAAAATGTAATGAAAATAAGTTAAGGTGACTTACAATATCTTCTTGTACATGTTTCTGGTAAAGGGCCTTGATACTTTCTTTCAACATCTTAGGGTCCTGTATGTAACCTACACAGTTATGAAGATCAGTCTTGAATCTCTTCACAACTGCTTCCTTGTCTCTAACCTGAAATATACACCATTCTTTAGAAAGTGAAATCTACACAACTGAATCTCATGTACTACTGATTATACATCTGAACATAATTTTATCAAAGTAACATAATCATATTCAAACAACTTTGTAAAAAATTGAATGAATCATGCTGTATTTGAAAATTTCTTTCATGCTTATCAATGTATTCAAATGAGCAGTTTTTCCAATATTCTTTCATTGAAATTATACAAAACACATCTATGATTATGATATCTTTACATGTTTGTATTTAAAACTGTTATATACTGTATATTTGAAACTTAAACATTTTTTTAGCTCTGTGAAATTTCAAAAATATGAATTCAAGTTATTTTTTATAATGACTGACAACAATAGCAGTTGAAGAGAGTTTAAAAAAGAGGTTTCATGATAAGATAAATCACTGTACTCACCCTCTGTCTCTCTTGGTGCATCTCTTTATCTGTGGCCTTGAGTTTCTGTCTGAGCTCAGTAATGTTAAGTTCAAGTGCAGTGTTGAGCTTATCAATCACCAAACTTCCACTTTCCATTTTTTTTTTTTTGGTTTTTTTAAAAAAAAAAAAAACATTTCAAAATTGGGATTTTTTAAAAAAAAATTTGCTTTTTTTAAAAAATTTTGGGTTTGGGGAAAAAAATTAAAAAAATCAAAATTTAATTTTTCAAAAAACCTTTTGGTTTTTTTCCCTTTAAAATCAACTAAAAATTTTTTGTTTTTAAATTTTAATTTTTTAAGAATTTTTTTTTTGAAAAAATTTTTTTAAAATAAACTTTTCAAAATTTTAAAACATTTTTTCCATATTAAAATTTGTTTCAAAAGGTATGGAAATATGCAAAATTTTTTTTTTACTTTTGGATCTTTTTTCAGTTTTGATGTCAGTCTCCTTGGTTCAATTGTTTTTTAATTTCTTTTCTTGTAATCCAGTAAAAACTTAAATTTCCCAATTCTTGATTCTTCTTTTAAAGCATAGATACGTTTTCCCCTATAACAAAAAAATAAAATGACTTTTGGGGAGTATATTTAAAATTTAACCCCCAAAAATGTTCTAAAAAAAGAGGACAAAATTTTCAATAAAGGGGCATTTATTTACTACAGTGTTGAAAACCATTCCATTAAAAATCAACAAAATTTTGGCAATTTTATTTTTTATTAAATTTTAATATTAAAGGGTTGAAGAGAAAAAAAAATTTTTTTAAAGGGCATTTCTGGGTGAAAAGGCGTTTTTTTTCAGCATTTTATCTTTAAAAAACACCTTGCCCGGGTTAAAAAACCAAAAATACATATTTATTTGGGGTGCTCCAAAACTTTTAGTCTACAATTGGAATAGTGGGTTGAATAAAATTTAAGGAAAAAAATTGAAATATAAAATTCTTATAAACCCAAAGACTTTTTTAGAAACCTAGAATATAAGTATTTTATTGTAGCTCCCTTATCTTGATGGTATCATCTCTCTCCTGGATCTCTTTCTTCAAACCAAGAATATCCTTCTCCAGATTTCTGATAATGTTCTCAAGTTTGGCCTTATCTGCCTGATATTTCTTGATCTCTTCTTTATGATCATCAATCTCCTTTTGTAGACTGGTGAACTAAATTACAGAAAGATAAACAAAAACTTAATGGTGAATTTCAATTTTAAAATTATGGTGAAAACTAATAAAACATAGAAAAACCGAAAGCAAATCTAGAAATAATAAATATGAAATAGTGTTCTACTTGTATATGAATAAAGGAGATACTAATTGCTCAAATCAGCCAAATGTATTAACAGTAAAATGAAATTCTGATGGACTGTAATTATATGCATGCATTTTGATGAGAAGTTTTTTTATGATACAGTTTTTGTATGATAATTTTCTGTATACATTTATGCAAAGAATATACTGAAACTCTTTTACCTTTTTCTTCATGATACCAGTTTCTCCCTTAAGTCTCATGTTAGCTTCCTTCTCATCTCTCAGCCTCCTCTCATACTTGTTTTTGATATCCAGTATCTCACGGTCAGCATCTTCTTCAATCTGTTTCTTTGTCTCCTCGTACTCACGAGTCTGCTGGCGAGTCTCATCATTTGACTGCAAACATATAACATAAATTGATGATATGTATGAACAGCCATCTAAATGCAGTGTGAAGTTACAAACTTCATCTTCATGATAAAAGACAAGATTTAAACTTAAGTTTATTTTTCAAATCAATAAGATTTAAAAACAAAAATTCATTTTGAACAAAAGAAAAAGCAATTCTATACAAAAAATAATTTACCTTAAATATAGACATTCAAACACAAAATTTTAAACAAAAAAATATTTTTCACTTTCATTTTTTTTTACATTACATTATTTCTAGCTAAAAGCACATGAAAATAGTTCTTTTCATTAGAAAAATTAAAATCAAATCAAGAACCTTCAGGTTTAGGATTCAGCTCTTACCTGCTCAAGTTTTGTGGTCATCTCCTGTATTTTAGTCTCGTAGTATTCAGTGAGCTCCTCAAGGGCTCTCTGTTTACTCTCCTCCATTTCCACCAACTGTCTGTCGTAATCTTCCTGCATCTTCATCATCTTCGCCTGCTGTTCCTGGAATTTCTCATACTCCAACATTAACTTCTGGTTGTTGGCAGACTCTGAAATTAGTAATTATAATTTAACCCAATAAAATTAAGTAATTTTTTAAAAGTTGCTTCAAGGGCTTTAAAAAACTAAACCTGATGAAATGAACTTTTACTTAAAAGGGAAAAAATTTAAAAACCAGTTCCCCCTGTACAGTATATTAAAAAACCCCAACGGGTTTTTTTAAACAAAAACTTTTAAAACCCATAAAAAAAGGGTTTTACCAAAAAATCATTTTTTTGCTATGTTTCTCCATAAGTTCAGCCATTTCTTCTTCATGTTTAGCTTCCTCTTTATCTTTGTCTGTTTTCAGCACCTGATTCTTTGTCTTCAACGACTCCATCTCCTGAATGAACTTCTCTGTCAACTCTTTAATCTTCTCATTATAATTCATATCCTTCAGTCTTAGCTGGTACCCATTCTCCATCTTTAGTTCATCTACACGTGTTTTAAGTTCAGCCATCATGGAATTCTTCTCTTCTAGATCACTCTTGGTGATCAGAATTTCTTCTGCCCAGCCTACTTCTTTGTCACGTTTAACACCACGACCTTCCTTGTCTTGAATCTTCCAAAGAATTATTGAAGAATCCTCGGATACTGTGACAAGGAACTGGTCATCATATGTGATTTTCATCTAAAATTCCATAAACATAATGAAAATAGCATAATAAAATCAAAATAAAATCACAAAACATTTTTACAAAAAAAACAGGTATATATATATATATATAAAAATTTTTAGACTGACAGAAAAATATTTGAACCAATCATCCTTTTTAGTCTGCACATGTGTAATCACGTGAATGGCTATTTCTAAAAAAAGGTTTTTGAGTTGGGTCTGTGTATATACCTTTGAAATAGTGCTTCCATGACCTTGCAGCTCCTGCCACTCACCAGGAATGGTCAGTGGAAACTTCAAAGACCACAGGGTTCCTCTGGAAGTGCCTGCAAACAACATACGACCAGAACGAGACAATGCAACATTGGTTAGTGTAGCTTCCCCAGCATCTACCTCTCTTAAAATCTGGAATAAGAAAAATCAGAGGATTCATTAACCATTTTCTATTTATAAAAACAAGTGCAATCTATTTTAATGAAATCTTTTATAAACCATCATGATTTTATGGCCAATGAGCAAGAGCTCAAAATAATTATCAATAAACTTCTGTATGTTTCATTGATACTGTAAATGCACTGCATGTATATGTTTATACAAGTTCTTCATTTAACAAAATAAAAATTTCACTTTCAATATGTTTATTAATACTTAGATATACTTACTGCCGAATCTGAGATTTCTTTCAAGGTCTTATCTGACCCGACAGCAAAGGTAGTTTTCCCATCTGAAGTCACAGCTACGCCAGTATAATGACAGGATTTGAGGACGGATTCTCCCACTCTCTTACCAGTAAATGTTTCCCACTCATAGACAGCACCATCTAGACCACAGGACACAATCTTGCTATCATCAGAACTCCAGACAATTGATCTGACCTTACCATTATGGCCTTTCAGATTAGCAACATTGTCAAATGTGATGGTTGAATAGATTTGAATCACATTACCGTGAACAGCGGCAAACAAGTTACCACCATTACTGAAGGCACACTGAAATTATAGAAATTATTCATATCATTAATATGTCACCTTCTTTTTCAAAAGCTTAACTACAGTGAGTATATACTTTAATACAATTTAACTTAACAGGTCAAGTTATATTTGAATTCTTTTGCATTTCCACAAGATATAATTATACAGTAAGAACATTATGATTTTTATGAGTAATTAGCATACAATTATCTTGTCAAGTACAATGTAGGATTTGTTTTCTTAATTCTATACAAAAGAGACTGAGAATTATTATTTCTTAGAAGGCAAAAGAAAAATTAAAGGTTATAGAATCACAGATTTACACAATAAGAGCTAGTTCTTAAAGTAACGTAACTTACCTCTCTACATCCTCTGATAGTGAACTCTTTGAATGTTCTAATGTCATCAATGAGGAGGTTCATAAGTCTGAGTTTATCACTGAATCCCACCAGGATATACAGACCAGAGGGATGTAGGGCAATACTGTAAGCCTCCTCTGCAAACTCTCTGTACAATTCCAGATTACTGAAATAATAGAGTATAAATTTTTAAAACAAAATCAATTTTTCCGTATTAATTAAACCTTAAAAAATAAAGACAGGATTTAAAAAAACAAAACCCTAAAAATAACATGAATACCCTAAAACATTTAAAATACTAAAAGGATTTAATTAACAAATTAATTTAGATATTTTCAAGTTAAACAAATTTATTTTTAAAACGGTAATTATTTCTTTAAAACTGTATTTTTTATTAAAATTAGGGGGGAACTTCCCGTTTTTATAATTCCCGATTCTGACAATTACCTGGGAAAATGTCAATAGGGCTTTCCTTGGGACACAATAAGACCCAAAAACTGATTTTAATGGAAGGGCCCGACAAACACCCAAATGAGCCTGATCTCCCTGCAAGTGATGAAACAATTTTTTTTATTTACATGACATATTACTGAATATTTCAGTTTATAGTCTAATGTTTTTAAACTTTGCAATATCTCTTTAAAACTAATGTTGAAGAGTCTCAGAAGAGATCAAATACAAATCATTAAACTATTCTAAAATATCAATGGGAATGCAAACCTTTCCCATGTCAGCCTAGAAAATTAAAAAGTGTATAGTGGGTGAGATCTTCCAAACCAGGTCTTTCTGATGGGGCTACAGTCAAACTTGTTTTTATTGCTGCTGTGACTTTGAAGGATCAGCACTATTTGAATCTTGAGGAATCTAAAATAAAATATTAATAATCAACATTAAAGTTTAAAATTAGGTGTTGAAACATGGAAGCATTTTCAACTATATTATCTACAATTATGTAAGTACTAAATAACATATTTCAACATAAACTGTAATGGTAAAGTTACCTTGATTTCTCTAGCCTTCTTAAAGAAATCTTTGTCATCAGTTTTCTCGAACAAGTGAACAGTTCCTGGTCCACAGGCACATGCAAATCCCTTTGAATAGGAGACAATAGCAGTTATCTGGGGTGGTCCTGTAGCTATATCCTCTTCTCCAGGTTTCCTAAAATTGTAATGTTTTGTTTACAGATCTCTATAAAATAAAACATATGTCCACTATTTTGCAACAGTAAACAACAGAAATATGATTCAATCTAAATTCAAAGGCCACAAATCTTCATTGTTCAACTATTTTGTTTGTAACTACTCAAAACTTTTAGCAATTTTACTTATTATACAAAATATTAAGACAGTGTCATTAGTTAAAGACTTACTTTTCTTGAGCAGCAATGTTGAATTCATGCTTCATTTCACCAGCCTCAAACAACATCAAGCGTCCAGTGTCTGTACCAACAATGACTCTCTCTTCAGATACCCAGGCATGACAAAGATAATTTTGTGGCTCTACTTTCTGAATATTAAAAGTTTTCAAATTTCCTTCACTGTAACGGAAGTTCTTGAAAATACCATTGCCAACCACACATAGCTGTGTATTGTCTTGTGGATTGAAGCTTACCTGAAATTTAAGTATATATATTATTAAGTATGTAATAACTGCAACTTACAGAGCAAATTGATAACATTTATCATTGTTATATGTATTAAAGTAGGTTATGGGAATATATATGATAACTTTAAGAAGCTCATGATATAAAAAATGTCATTACTTATAATTTAAATACAAAATTTATTGACTGGATAAAAAAATGCAAGTTTGTATTTATAAGCTTTATACCTGATAAATTGGAGGGTTTGTCTGAGGATTTGAGGTCTTTGTGACAGCCATGACTTTTGATTTCTCCCATGTCCAGTACAGGAGAGTGTAATCTGGTTTTCCTCCTTGTGCAACAAGATACTTAGAATCTGGACTGAAGGCTAGACTGACATACTCATTTGAAGCCACATCAGGAGAGCTAAGTACTTTCCTCTTTCTAAGACTATGCAAGTCATAGATGGTAATAGTTGGTTTTTCAAGCTTTTCAGCAATAGCTACATATCTTCTGTTTGGACTGACAGCTAATGCTGTCATTCCTTCACTTTTATCAGTACCTTGTATAAATTTCTGCACCTTCTGGTCGATGTTATACAAGATGCAGTTTGCCCCCGAAGGGTAAACAATTGTTTGTTCATCATGGTAGCAGATGTTACCACACACACCTGACTTTAGGCCAAAAATATGCCTGGCCTGGGCTATTGCTATAGACATGTTTCTTTTTTAAGTTGAGTCCACTGAAAACAGAAAATAAATAATACTTGAATCTATCTTTCTTGCTGGGAGTAAAATTCTGATATCTTGGATAATATTAATTAAACATTATACAAGAGCAAGTTCAACATAAGTGAAAGCAAGAAGAATATTTTGAATGTGTGGTGAAGCAACTAAAATATAAAGGTTATCATTTAAAGCGAAAAATATTAATTTAGATTAAAACAGCATTTATGTAAAGACTTCATATACAACTTGTACAACTTCATATAAAATCTAAAGCCACCGACAGCCTTTAAACATGTTTCTTGTAGTTGGAAGTGTTATGTACATTGCCATTTCTTCAGTTTATAAGATAAATCATAAACATAACAAAGTTTGATAAATGAGAGAACAACATTTAACTGCTAAATAGAAATGTTGTCAAATAAAAACTTTTTTACATAAACACTGTGTTCAGCTCAGCATGTTTGTTGCAATTAGAACCTAAATCAATCATTTGCTGACTTTCATAAAAAGTTTACATATTTGACAAGTTTAATCATGTTTCCATCAATAATCTAAATTTAATTGGTTGCTACCATAACATTGCACAATATATAGTGTAGCCGACAAGTTAACATTTTTCAGTCAGGTACATACTTGGTCTTAGATTATATTTTAATCATACTACATTAATCAATTAACTTCAATATTCATTAAGATACTCATTTCTTATGATAACATGAAAAAAATTCCCCTGAAAGTTTAAATTAAACAGGTTTTATTCAAAGTATATTTTATGCTGATTATTCCCACCTACCTGTCTAATTACATTAAATATATCTGCATTTAATTACACTGTGAAGAAAACTGATTTAAATAAGCAATAAAACACAAAAAACCTACGGGTAAAATTTATTTCATGTCCACCATTTGTAATCAACGTCACCCTTGGCAACGATTACCAATACAAAGTTTCCGCTTCCTGTCTAGCTAATCATTATCATTCTGACGCTCGTAGTTCATTTTTAAAGCGTCTGTCACAGAAGTTAATCAAAATTTGATTTTATTTGCAAATTATAGATCTTGTCGCAAAATTAACATTCTGATCCAGCATTTTGATTTCAGAATAATAATTTGACTTTGTTTATTATTTTAAACTTAAATGATTGGAATGACAATGAAAGAATTTATGAAATTTTGTTCAAATATGATTGTGTCCTCCAAAATAACACCAGTGTCACGTACACCAATTCACTGCTGTAGGTGTCTCTACAAAAGGAATTTCAGTAGGACAAAGGCATCGTGTACACGACTCAACTTTCATCAAAATTTAGACATCAAAGGCTTTTTGAAACATCTGAAGTCTTGTGGTTCCTTTTCGGTAGATAGCTATTTGCTTGGGAGATATAACACTAATAATTTTATTTGTAACAAACATTACACAGTTTCTACAAATGCAGTTGATAATTCAAAACATAAAAAAATGGAGTTCAGTGACGAAGATACAAAAACAGTTTTGTCGGAAGACATGCAAGTTATCAATGATTTCATATCGGAAGAAGAGGAAGAAGTTCTATTCCAGGAAGTGGAGCCACATTTGAAACGGTTGAGATATGAAAGTAGCCATTGGGATGATGTAAGAATACATATTTGATAGGCATAATTTTTATGCACAAATCAATTTTAACCAAGGACCCTCATCCTAAGAGCAGTAAAAAGGATATCTATCTTCCAATTATGTCAAACCCCTCACAGGGACGTAGACATACATGTACAATGTAGCTCCTGCTGGAGCTAAAAGATGCATAGACTTCAGTTGTTCAAATCCATTACGATCACCCAGGGATAAACGGTGGCTGCAGTTCTGATGCCTCCCCCTCAGCCACTAGGGTAACAAACAACTGTTAATTGGCACTAATATTATTACTATATAAGGCTGCTTATTTAGTCTTTATCTACCTGTCTGGTTATATTATGTTTATATTATGTCCCAGTCTTAATTTAGTCCTTTATAAAAATTCTTTTAAAATTAGTTCATATTAATATAATTATATTACTAAACAAAAACAGACAGATTAATTTATGTGTATCAAAATACGAAAATTTGCAATAATGAATAATTGGAAGATTGATATGAGAAACTCAGTACCATTAGTTGTCTGTAATATATAGTTAGAGTTATCCTATTTGCCTGCCTGCATGCAACACAAGTCTTCAAAGCTACTGTCAAGGTAATCAGTTGAAAGCAAATACAAGTATTCAGGATCATAAGTAGATGCTTTTTTCATGGCCCATAACTCCATTATGGACTTTCACTTAATTATGACCTTTTTTAAACTTAAATTCTTCAATCTATTCCCTTTTTCAACTTACAAAATTCTTAGATCATGTTTTTTAATAGACTCATAACCTATGGCAAGTTCATTATTTGTATTTTTGTGAATGCAGTCTTCCTCCCTTGTTAATTCTTACATTATCAAGGTTCTTATTAAGCATCATTTTTTACTGAGAATAGATGAGTATGCTGTCCTATTATTATAGCTGTTAAAGATGATTTCAGGGCATGCAAATGATAGACAACTCAATTATATTGAATGCTATATCATTATATGATATGAATGCTACTTGCATAATTTTCAAGTGATGAAAAATGACTTTTATGTAACTGTAATATTTGTAGGCAATACATGGCTACAGGGAAACAGAAAGGAAAACTTGGACAGAAAAAAACAAAGCAATTATTCAACGAGTAAGAGATGCTGCTTTTCCTGCAGGGGTTCCTCAGCTAGCTCATGTACATGTTCTTGATTTGCAGAAAGAAGGATACATAAAAGCACATGTAGATGCCGTAAAGGTAAGTATTTTAAAAAAAATTCTGTGAAAGACTGGATCATTGTCTTTATACTGAATTAATTTAAATTACTTTTTAGCTTGACTATTGTATGTATGTAATAGGGAGATCTATCCTACTAATCTGAGTGTTATTGAGGTTGTCATACTTTTGGTTAAGTTTTGTATGACCAACTTTTTCATAATACCCTTTGAGATACTGCTTTTAAAAATTGAATATGTACATGTGTTTGTGAATGTTTCTCAATGGACTAGTGTCCACGCTCAAACTCAGATCTAAGTTACTTGAAACCACCACATAATATGCACTGACCAATGAAATGCCTGAGGTGCAAGAAAGGTCTCGCTAAAAAAGTTTTATAACCTCCAGTCCGAATCTTATTCAACAATTTAGTACTAGTCTTACAACATGTATCATCTTTTGCTTAGATGATCATTATGTAAACATGGAGATGAACATATTGTTGTATATTTGCCTGTTTAACAAAGCTAACAAATTGATACTTAGATAATTGAGTGTAGATTCTACATACTTGCTGCAGACTTGTATTATAACAGACATATCAGTCAACATGGCAAAACAGTGCACTAACTCTTGTAAAGGGTCATTAAAGGCTGTATGATACCCCTATATGTTAGCCTCCATAGCAATAGAATCTGCCCAACTATATTGTTGTCTATATCATTATGATATTTTGATTTAAAATTCACAAAATTTACTATTGTTTTATATTCAAAGTAGTTTATCATTTCATCTAATGACTGCTTGTTTTCCATGTAATATAATCATAGTATATATTCTTTATATTACACATGTGTAATATAAACTCATTTAGAACTTTGAACAGAAGCTTGCTTTTGAAATGTCAAAACAAGTTTTCTATACTTCACAACAGCAGGTGTCAAGTGCTGTGTGGCAGCTGTAAAAAGTTGCTCCGTTCTTCACTTCAGTGTTGCTATATTTTTCTGGTCCTTCGGGATCATTGATAGTGTTGAGAATTGAGTAACGCTCAAGCCGGTGCTAGGGGGCATGAGGGATGTTGCACCTATTCATTATCCCTCATGTACAGACTCAATGAAACCGAGTCTGCAATTCTCTTGTAATTTTGTTGTGATTAATGCTTCCGAGGGATCACTTTGTTTCCAGATTTTTGATTCTTTAATTAACTTCAATGCTATTTTAACAATCTTTAATGTCTTTTAAATTCATGTGCTAAAAAGCTTCTCTCTTTCATTGTCATATAATATAGTTATATAGTAAGCTAGTCTAAGGAAATATTGTACATCTCACTAAAGGCTCATTTCATAATGTTTATTAATAATTTCTTCAGCTAAATTGGTAAAAATTTAAAATATGTGGCAACTCTTGTGTGATCATCATGTGTATAAATACATAATAGGTTATTTAAGCATGACCAATCCCTCTCATTTAATGTTATAATGTTATTATAAAGTATACAAAGTTGATATCATTATTACACTTAATATACATGTATATATTTTACAGTTTTGTGGTAGTACTATAGCAGGTATATCTCTATTGTCTCCGTGTATTATGAGGCTGGTACATACAGATGATAAAACAAAGTTTGCTGATATTCTCCTAGAAAGAAGATCATTATACATAATGAAGTAAGTAAAAAAAAAAGTTTCACTGTAGGTGTTTGTTTATCATGCTTGATGTAGGTTAAAGGTCAGTACAATAGTGAACAATTTTTATACTTTGTGTGACATGTAAATAAAAGTAAAATGATTAGCTAAACTTACAATGTATGTGGAATGGCAGGTATTTTTATCAATAGATGAGTGATGTCTTAAACTTTATATGTACCATTGCAATACACAAGTTTAATACATGCATACATATATATGTAATGTTCGGTGACCTCAATATGAAAAGTCGCACAATGGGTGATTGACATGCACAAAAACATAGTTCTTAGCCAACTTTTGCAAAATATGATGAAAAAGAAAATAAGAAAATAATGTTTCATTAAGATCAGACCCAATAACCTTCAATTTGAAAATGAAATAACTTTTAAGTTATATAAAAAACATGTACTATACCATTATGCCATACTTTAAAATTCAGAATCCTATAATAACCAATAAAAGGTCATTAAATGTTCAAATGTCTCAGGTCAATATTGCCAAACAATATGCCTATTTCATTGTTCATGTTGCTATTCTTCATAAATTATTCATGATACTATTCCTATTTGATTGTACATGTTATTATATAAATCCCTATTTTGTTATTCATGTTATTTTTTCTATTTCATTGTTAGCTCACCTGTCACAAAGTGATAAGGTGAGCATTTGTGATCGCTTTTCGTCCGGCTTACGGTGATCGTCTACCAAGTTTGATCAAATTAAAGCCAGTTAGCCTTGAGGTCAAAATTTGCCCGCCCCAGGGGTCATTGATTTTCCTTATACATGTATGTATATAGTAAAAACGTAAAAAAATCTTTAAAAAAACCAAGAGCTAAAGCTTAGATATGTAACATGAAACATCTTCTAATGGGTATCTACCAAGTATGTTCAAATATTAAAAAGCTCTTAAAATTTGGCATCGCATCGGGGGTCATTGACTTTCCTTATATGTACATGATGTATATTGTAAAAACTTTTCAAAAGCCAAAAGAGTTAGAGTTTAGATATTTAGCATGAAACATCTTCTAATGGGTGTTTACCAAGTTTGTTCAAATAAAAGCCAAAATTGGCCCTGCCCCTGGTGGTCATTGAATTTCCTTATACATTTGTATGTCTATAGTAAAAACTAATGTTTTAACACATGCACTTTTTCAGATGCAAATATGAAATTTGTGATATCAGTTTAAGATTTAGTTTTTATATCTGTTTTTGTTTATAGTTTACAATATTTTTTGTTCCTTGTCATGGACAGTTTTTACATACTGGTGAGGGATTTCAGGGGCCCTCTTGTTTATGTAATTTTTCCTATTTCATTGTCCATGTTATTATTTCTATTACAGAGATGCAGCAAGGTACAATTACACCCATGAAGTTTTACCAGATAATTCTGTGTTTGGAGGACAAACCATTACCAAAGATAGAAGAATATCTGTTATCTGCAGAAATGAGCCTTGAAGTTGGTCAATTAGTTTCGCTCAAGTGTTGCTGTGTTCAAAAAGACATGGACAATGACAGAAGAAATTAGAATCTGACGTTAACATAAGCTTAGCTAAACAACTTTTTACCTTGAAGCTCGTCTGAGCAAGAATTGCTTGTTATTTAACCATTTAGGTTACATGTCTGTCTTTCATAATTGTTAATATCCAGAATTGTTTGAAGCACCAGTATACATATTTCATTGCTTCATATTTTCGTGGTACTTAACCCATTACCTCATGAGCATTTTGTGACAAATGGCTGTTTTCATTGCAAAGTCTCCCGTTACAAGTTCAAATTGCTATAAAACTATAAAAACTGCTTCAATACTAATCAAACTTGACACAAATGTTAACTGGACCATTGCCGTTGTAACAACATGCTCAGTCTTTAATTTCCTGTTACCGTGGCAACGAGAGGACATCTCAAAATTGCCAAAATCACTATTTTGCATTGATTTTTTCCATCAAAATTGACTTCAAAGTGCTGCAACTTCTAAATGGATTGAGATAAAGTCAAATGCTTTTCAGCCAAGGTTACAGGTAACCTTATGATCGATCTGGGGTCATTTTTAGCCTCTCACAAGTCCAAAATTTTCTTGGCAATGTATCTTTTGTTGGGGGGCCTAAAAAGGGGGGGGGGGGGGGTCGAAAGTGCGTTGTTTCGCGTATATATGAGGTAAAGGGTTAACTGTTTTACAACACTACAAAAGTCAGAAGAATAAAATTCAGTAAAATACTATGAATATTATAGGAAAGACATATCAGTAATGTCATAGTTTATTATGCCACCACTTTAGTGGCGGGCATTTAGATTTACCCAGTTATAGCCCTTGACTTAGTAAAAATTTGCAATTTTCAACTTGTGTCGCATGTAACTCAAAAAGGATTTGACCTAGAGTCATGAAACTTTACAGGAATGTTGATCAGCATGTGTAGTTGTGCACCTGGGTATTTTTGTCTGGATTTATAAAGTATTTTTAGAGTTATTGCCCTTGACTTAGAAAATTTTTCAATTTACAACTTATGTCGCATGTTACTCAAAAAGAATTTGACATAGTGTCATTAAACCTTACGGGAAGGTTGCTCAGCATATGTAGTTGTGCACCTTGGGTTTCGCTTGTGGATTTATCCAGTATTTGTAGAGTTATTTCCCTTGACTTAGTAAAAACAGTTTCATTATGTTGTTATTTGTTCCTTGAGTGCTTGAGTTAGAATCAACCAACTTTACAGGAATAATGATCAACATCACTGTGAAGCTATGCACCTGGGACTTTGCATGTGGATTTTTTTCAGTTTTGTTAGAGTTATTGCCCTTGACTTACAGTAGTATAAATTTGCAATTTTCAACTTATTCATGCATAGCTCAAAAAGCATTTGACTTGTAGGCCTGAAAGTTTACAAGAATGTTGGTCAGCATGTGTACTTATGCACCTTGGGGTTTGCTTGTGGATTTATTCAGTATTTGTAAAGTTCTTGCCCTTTACTTAGTAAAAGATTTTTAGTTTTCAACTTGTGACACATGTAGTCCAAAAAATATTTGACCTAGAGTCATAACATTGACCGAACAGTGGCGTGTGGGGGCACCCGTGTCCTATGGACACATTTCTAGTTCCTTCAACAATTATGTACAAAACATGGCTACAGACACCTATCTTAAAGTTATTTACCTGTATTTCCAAGACAATTACATTTTAAAGGTACTCAACTGAGGTACGGCCGAATGTCACAAAAAAAAGTAAAATTTCACGAACCGATAATTTTTTGTTACCTGTGTGTTAGGGACATTCAAACAGAATCAGTGATACATTGATATGTGTTCTTTGGATTGGCAAATCGTTTGAAATACATATTTTCTCCAATTTTGTGGGAAAAGCGTTTAAACACCTTTCAGTTTGCAAATCTGAATAAAAACAACGGTCACGTGATGATTCTCGGATGACTAAAAAGCGAAACGGAGAATTTTTTGTGTATCGGCAGCAACGAAAGTGCGAAAGTGGAAAGTTAAATTTCTTGTTGTTCACATAATTATGTTCTTGTGAGAAAAATCTTTCAAAAGCAATTTCAATATATTTAAAGCATTACATTGTTGTAATCATGTTTTTTTTCTCCATTACAATGATGATATTAGCTAAACGTACGGAGTTGGAAACTGACATACACAAATTTTACAAATATTCCATGTTAATTTGAGAGCTTTCGTGTAATTATTTAATTATTTGTTATTTGTTCCTTGAGTGCGTGAGTTAGAATCAACCAACTTTACAGGAATCATAATGATCAACATCACTGTGAAGCTATGCACCTGGGACTTTGCATGTGGATTTTTTTCAGTTTTGTTAGAGTTATTGCCCTTGACTTACAGTAGTATAAATTTGCAATTTTCAACTTATTCATGCATAGCTCAAAAAGCATTTGACTTGTAGGCCTGAAAGTTTACAAGAATGTTGGTCAGCATGTGTACTTATGCACCTTGGGGTTTGCTTGTGGATTTATTCAGTATTTGTAAAGTTCTTGCCCTTTACTTAGTAAAAAGATTTTTAGTTTTCAACTTGTGACACATGTAGTCAAAAAATATTTGACCTAGAGTCATAACATTGACCGAACAGTGGCGTGTGGGGGCACCCGTGTCCCTATGGACCAATTTCTAGTTCCTTCAACAATTATGTACAAAACATGGCTACAGACACCTATCTTAAAGTTATATACCTGTATTTCCAAGACAATTACATTTTAACAGTTTCAAAAGTAAAAAATAATAGTTACCAATTTTTTTTAGTACTTAGCCTTGTCTGCAGGTGTGAATTTCCTCTAAGGTACTTATGAAATATTTCAAGGAAACTAAAAGTAAAATGATGAAATCATTCATTTTACTCACAAGTTGTATAAAATGATAAGTTTTCTTAGTTGTATACAAAACATATTGATGAAAATTATACAATAAGAAAGTGAATATAAAACTCCTGGCAAGTGTATGAAGTCTAGGAGGCAACTGAGGCTGTTTATGGCAAATACCTTGAAATAATGGGTAACACAGAAATATGAGGCACTGGTATAATTACTCACATGAGGTTTATATTGATTATTACAAAATGGTTATCTAAGTATTAAATACAGAATACTTTACATAATGTAATAGATATTGTAACATTAAATTTTGACCCTGTTGAAAATTGACCCCATTTTCAATGTTGAGAAGTGAACCAACAGTTCAACATTAAATTTTGATGAAAAAGTAGTTGTGAACTGATCAATTAACTTTTGACCAAAATAGGGTAATTTTTATGCTCCCCAAAGGGTGAGCATATAGTCGCCACTTTGTCCATCAGTCTGTTCGTCTGTCCGTCCGCTATTCTTGTCTGGGACATAAGAGTTATCAAAATGAAACTTTGTAGGTAGATAGATCTCATTGTATAGAAGTGCAGTGCTAAAGAACCATAACTCTGTCTTGCCTAATTTTTGAGTAATTACCATTTGTTTATTTGTACACTTTGAACTGTGTCCCAGACATATAACTCTAAAAGTATAAGAGATATCAACATGAAACTTTGTAGGTAGATGGAGCTCATTAGATAAAAGTGCAGTGCAAAAGAACCTAACTTTGTCTTGCCTAATTTTGGAATAATTGCCCTTTGGTAATTTTTGCTCACATTGAACTTTTTCCGAGATATAGCTCTGAAACCATAAGAGGTTTGTTTAAGGAAGATTGATCTCATTAAATAGAAGTGCAGCGCAAAAGACCTTAACTCTTCATTGCTTAATTTTGTTTCAGTTTCAGTTTGTTTATTAAACCAAAGGCAATATTACTTGCAATACTGTTGTAACAACCAGACAAATATAACTCTAAAAGTCAATAAGAGATAATCAAACATAGAAACAATTGTAGGTAGATTGGAGCTCATTAGATAAAAGTGCAGTGCCAAAGAACCTTAACTTTGCCTTGCCTAATTTTGGAATAATTGCCCTTTGGTAATTTTTGCTCACATTGAACTTTGTCCGAGATATAGCTCTGAAACCATAAGAGGTTTGTTTAAGGAAGATTGATCTCATTAAATAGAAGTGCAGCGCAAAAGACCTTAACTCTTCATTGCTTAATTTTGTTTCAGTTTCAGTTTTTTATTAAACCAAGGCATATAATATGCATCTGGTTATAACAACAAACAAACAGAAAAATAACAGTCAAAAATCACTAATATCAAAATATAAGAATACAATTATGACTAGCTAAATAAACAAAAAAGGAGATCATATTGTTCATTTCAAGTACTGAATTCAATACAACATGTATTTTACATTGTAACAAATGGGAACGGAGAATGAGAAGTATTAATTATCTAAATTTTAACATAATGTTTTTACAAAATAAAGATAATTTTAGTAGAATCTTTTTATCACTATTCATTAATGTGTCAAGTTTAAAAATATTGGGATGAATGTAAAACCTGGGAAGAAGAGAGTTACGTCTTATGTCATTTGGAGTTATTGCCCTTAGTTCATTTTTGCACTTTGAACTTTGTCCAGGACATAACTGACACTTCAAGAGGTATTCTTTTCTGTGTCCAAAACCTACTTGGGGAGCATCAACCGGTTCTTGTTTTTAATGGTTATTTAAATGTCTGTTTGTAGTAGTGAAATGCTTAAAAGAAGCAGAGCTTTAGAAAAGCATAACATTTATACTCTCTTAAATTCATATTGCTGGGTAACTGTATAGGAAAAGACTTTGAATGAAGTTTAAAAAATGAAGAAAAAAAGTGGAAGGATCATTATTGTCATGACTTTCTTGTTAGAGTTGGCATTGGTGAACCTTTTTGTTAAGTTTCTGTTTATGGTTACTAACATCAAAACTAACAAAGGTTTTTCAATGAAATTTTATAAGTGGACACACCTTGGTGATTTCTATCAGCCACATGAATTTCTTTAGTTCAAAAGGTCCAGGGGACTGGGAACTGCAATATCAAAACATAAAACTACTCAGTGAATTTAACTGCATTCATTGACAAAATAAATGTAAATTCTGTATGTTGGTGCACCTTATTGAATTTTACATGTGCCACAATCTATGTTTGAGTCAAATTGTCAAGGTCACTGGACCTGTAATAACATGGAAATTGAAATTAGAAACTGGAATTATAGAGAAGTGCATTGACCTAGGAACTTTAAACTTTTCATAAAGATGCTCTTTAATGAGTTCTACCAGCCACATAACCATTTTCTTGTCAAAAGATGAAAGGTCACTGGGCCCTATAATAACAAAATGTGAAACTGGCTATTTAAATGAAGTGCATTGATTTCAAATATTTAATGTTAATGCACATTGGTGAATTTTACCTGCTACGTTTTCAGCTCAATTATTTGAAGGAAATGGAGAGCTTTTGTAATGACCCAGGCCTGGTATTGACATCAGACTTTAGTTAAGTTTTTGTGTGAAAGTTGGAATTTCATGTCATAACACAGATCAAATGTCAAGGTCAAAGTGCATTGACCTAGGAGCGAGCTTAAGGCTTTGTGTGTGGATACATCTTAACGATTTCCTGCTAGCCATGTACATTTTGAGTTAAAAGTCGAATGTGAAGGTGATGTTTCAATCAAATTTTCGCTGTATGCACTTTACAAACCAACAATGAGAAAAGAAAAATTTTATGGCAAACCTGCATCTTTGTAATGCAATTTAGAATCTTTGTTATAATTTAAAATGTGTTTACACTATTGTGTTAAGTTTGAAAATATGCAAGGCTATACTAGATTCTTAAAGTTTTTGTTTTACTTTGTTACACTTGCTCAAGCATTATTATTCGTGTAAAATGTCTGATTTCTCAACCTAGTACTTGGTACTTTTGTTAAGATATGATTATTCCTCTGTTACATGCTTGCCTTGAAATATATGTTCAGCTATTTTGATAAACTTTTTAACAACTGTAACTAGTCTGTACATAGTTTTTTATTTGACATGTTTCTTCTGAGGTCATACTTGTAACGCGAGTCACATTGAAGGTTCCGTGATAAACGTCGTAAGAACACATCTGTGGATGTTTCTCAATTCAAAATTTCATCATTACCATGATTAAATGGCGAGTTTTGCTTAAGCCGGTGCTAGGGGGCGTGGACGGTTAATTGCACCTTCCATTACCGTTCATGAACAGGCTTAATCAAACCGAGCCTGCAACATTTTAAATTTTGTCGTTTTGTGCGTTCTTTAGGGATTATTTCTATTTCTCTCTATATTATAGTCAATGTTTGCTCCACCGTCATCACCTATGGTACAATTAAATTCTTGTCTTTTTCCAGGGAATAATTGTTGTTTACTGGCAAAGCCTTATAATTTGACAATAGATATTGACTGAAAATTTTCCTGATTTCATTTCTAATTACATGTACTATGCAAATTAATATACAAACTTTTAAGTACTGACAACGAGGTACATGTATATACATGTACCACGTACGTACATTCCTGGTATTGACGAGGGAAAAGGCAAAGCCAATACTGTTGGAGATTTTCAATTTATGATTGGCTTTTGTCATTAGTGCGTCCAGCATCAGTATTGATTCATAGACGCAGTAGACATTTAACAGTTTCACCACCGGCCTTCCAGCGGTTTACAACGTGAGATAATCCAATGTCCTTTGAGGGAGTGGTGAGGATCAAATGATTTTAAAGATTCTGTATTTGTAAATAAGGCAAAGTAAATTTGGCATTAATTACGATTAAAACATTAATACATTCTGGGATGTTTTTAATTAGGATAATACTTAAAATGGATTCATCGAACATCATATTACTTGTGTATGAATTTCTGTTAAAATATAAGGGAATATGTTGATTTCTGAACGACAAACTGTATCTTTTCAATGTGTGCATTAAGACTTAGGGCATCCTTGGCCGAATGGTGAAGGTCTTTGACTTCAAACCACTGGCCCGTTACCATTGAATGTTCGAAGCTAAAGCAACTACAGTGGTTCTACTCAGGTGCCTGTTCGTGGGTGAAATAATGCACAGAGGCCGTGCACAATCTGAGGTCTTCCTTCACCAGTAAAGCTGGAAAATCGCCATATAAACTTTACAATTTTGGTGAGACTTTAATTAGTTGGTACTGTCATTAAATCTTCATGAACAATCTCTAATAAAGGTAATCAAAAAGAAAATAAACTGGAAATGAACTTTTTATTTTGAAATTAAATTATCAAAATGGTACAGCCTTACAAATACTGTATATATTTTATTTATTTCTAAACGTATTTTCTGCGTGCATAGAAAAACACGATCTTGTGAATGGATCACGTTTTAACCATGAGATGTATTATGTAGTGGATGTGAAATATTATCTGTTTATTTTGATGTAATTGTGATAAAAATGGATTTTACATTTAAACAAGGTCAGGAGTTTGTCATGTGATACTGAGTTGATTTATGTTTAACCTGTACGTCATTGCAAGGAAAACCATATAGATAACAACATATCATACATTAGTGTTTATAAAACATACACATTTTACATGTATTATGTTTCCGGTTTTATGAAGAAAAAAATGGTTTTAATTACAGGTAAATTGTTTCATAATTATCTTTGTTAACTTTCTTGAAAAAAAAAAAAGAAATCAGAAATAAAAACTTTTTTATTTGTTTAAAATATTTCGTTCGGTAAAACTTAATATACTTGTAAATAACGACTTCGTCACATACATTCTTTGTTATCCAAGCAACACAAATATAGAACATGTTTTATATTGATTGAGATACGCATAAACTCAAATTCAGGACTACTTCTTGTTTGTAGAAAATGGTTTACATCTTACATTTTAATGGCGAAGTCAGAAAGGATAACACATCTTAACTATAATATTGTTGTCATGGGCGATCCTTATTGTGGAAAATCTTCAATAATCGAGAGATATGTAACCGGGAAATATGGTCCTAACTATATACAAACAATAGGTAATATTAACATCTCTTTTTTTGCCTGATATTTATAGATACAAAATGTATTTTGAAATCTAAGTATCGGTTATTAGTAAACAGTTTCTTTAAATAATAGTTCTGGCTTCCAAAAGTTTATAACCCGCTTCTTAACATTTTTTTTCTTTAATCTGTTACGGCATATAATAAACCGTACCCGTCCTAAAACCGGTACACTGAAGACGTTGAGCTATCACAATAAAAGCTATGTTTATAATAACATGAATCCGGAAGTTTTCATCTTATTATAGTATTTCTTTAGAAATTAGCAATAATAGCAAAGATTTGACAAATTACAACACAAATATATGAAACTGATACCATTTGTAAGTTTGAAAAAGAATATTTAAAAAATGTTCATATTACAGGTTCCGAGTATGCAAAGAAAAAACTCGAAATAGAGGGAAATCCAGTTATGTTATATGTATAGTAAGTCTTTAGAGTGAAAGAATATATTGTGTACATGCTAATTATATAGCTGTGTACTATATTTTTTTAAAACAAAAACAAGAATGACCATGGTTTCTATATATAGATTCGATGTAATTATATCGTTAATAGCACAAAACAAATTACACACTTTTAGAATTTATTGAGTAAACACAAAAATACAAAATAAATGATGTGCTGTAACAATGCATGGAAATAAATAAGCAAAATAAATGGGAATATGACTTATCAAAACCAATATTAACAGCAAATATATTTAGTATACATAAGAACATGATCAAAATGAAATATCATTTGTGCTTTTTTATATGTGAAGAATTTTATTTATCACTGATGCACGTGTATGTAAAACATGATTTGTAAAGTTGATACTTATTTTGATTATTGTTATTTTCAACTGTAACAGTGACACTGCTGGGCAGGAAGATATGAAAACTGTAATCAAAAGTATCTATAGGAAAGCTCAGGTAAGTTAGACAATGATTTAGAAATATATTGAAGTTATACAGAACGCTTTATGAATGCGATATCAATAAGTATTAGTGATTCGATATCAGCAACATAAGAAACAGTGAATTATATACAGCAAGTAAGTGATAATGTGCACACGTCTGAACATTGGCAAGATACGTGCATTTTATACCATTGTTAAAATAATTGAAACACGCATTTTATACCATTGTTAAAATAATTGAAACACGCATTTTATACCAATGATAAAATAATTGAAACACGCATTTTATACTATTGTATATTGTCACATGCATGAAATAAGAAATATTTACATACTGTTTAATCCATGATTATTGTAAAGATACAGATAAATTTTTTTCTTACTTTCAGGGTATATTGCTAGTGTTTGATTTTTCCAGAAAGAAGACATTTGATCATATACGAGACTGGATAGATCTGATTCAAATGGTAATACATTTTAGTGAACATTTATTTCTATGTTTGATTTTCCTAATGTCGTAATGAATATAAATATAATAAAGTTTTATTCAATGCTGATTTTATTTTTGATAAGGAAACGATGACTGACAAGTTGTTTTTCACATTATTTGCTTGTGTACGGTTATAAATTTACATATCAATAATAATTTTAAAAAATGTAAGCTTTACATATAGAGTTCAATTTTGCAACATAGTGTAAGTGAAGCAATGCCATATTTTGATAGAGTATAATATTGTATATTTCACTGTTTTATTTACGTCCAAATATGTTGTTTCATTTGAAATCGTTATAGAACTGTGATATCACTCCGGAGATGGTGTTAGTTGGCAACAAAGTGGACCTTCAACACTTACCTGTAACTACTGCTGATGTTGAAGTGGTAAGTGAAGTAAACCCCTTATCCCCCCTCTAATTTCTTAAATGAACTTGCCCATTTTAAATATGCACGAAACCTTCAGTTGTTTTAGGAATAATTTCGAAATATGTGCCGACTTGATAGCGAACAGTGCAGACAGTACAGATGTGCTGGCTGAGCTTGGCTTGTACTGGATGCATTGGTAGAATCTGTTGCCTCCAGAAGGTTAATGGTTAATATGTAGATTCTTAATGTACAGAATACATATTCTCTTAGCTCATTTGTACATTTAGTGACCAGATAGCTTTTTTTAGATTATGAAAAAAGTATGTATTTTCTTTGTATTTTCATGTAAGATGTTTGTTGATTTTTTTGTATAATAGTTTTATTTCTTTTATTTTTCAGTTTGCAGAATCTCATAATCTACCATTTTTAAATGTGAGCGCCAAACGGAATTATAACATTGAGGAGGCATTTAACAAATTGTCCAAGAACATATTTATAAACAGAAAGAGGGTGCGTTACTGTAAAAATTAATTGATTCTAAAATGTTAAATTCTCAAAATGTTTAACGAATGTAAATGAAAAAATAGTTGAATTCGTACAAAAAGTATTTTAATCAAACAGAGGCGATCAAATATTCTACAGTTAGATTACAGTTGTAGCATTTAAAATACGATGCTCCTAAAACACATTGTTTCTTATATCAAATTTGTAAACTGCAAAAATGATTATTGAAATTTTTATTTATTATTAATATTTCAGTTGTATCCCTGTAATATGGTCACGAGTATCCAGTTAAAACAAGATCAGAACGAAAACAATAACTCCTGTTGCTCCTAGCAATAATCATCCTTGTGTTTGTTGTTTGTGGAAGCAACTTCCAAGAGCGACAACCGCTGCAGGAATACAGAAAGTATAGGCATACAAGAGTTACCGTATTGTGACATTTTTCAAAATGGATTTTTGTGTACATTTAGAGCTACCTTTTAGTGCTTTACTGACTTTTTATTCGTTTTTATCTCCACATAATAGTTGCAACGTATGTTGTTCAATCAAACCTCCGATGTGTTCTTTCAAAAATTAAAATTATTTTCGTTTTTAAAAACACATATTCTATTAATCTTCTACATTTGTATATCTATTTGTCATGACAGTAAACAGTATCAAGAATAAGTATTACTGTCATATTTTAGAGTAATGTTAAATCATGTACAATATCATATACAAGGTTAAACACAAGATTAGACCAGTCACAATTCACTCTCCGTCTCAACTTAAAACTGAGTTGACAAACAATATCATATGAGCCGCGTCACGACAAAACCAACGTAATGCGTTTGCGACCAGCATGGATCCAGACCAGCCTGCGCATGGATCATGATCAGACTGCGCGGATGCGCAGGCTGGTCTGGATTCATGCTGGTCGCAAACGCAATATGTTGGTTTTGTCATGACGGGGCTCATATCTTAATGAGGTTTGACATGAATGGATTATAAACTCGTAGTAACAATGCTGTCGAGCATGAGAATGTTATAAAGTCACTGATTAAACATGACAAAAAATCTTCAGATACTTTATTGATCAATAATAAATCCTGGTTTCATTTAGATCTATTGGATTTCTTTTACTTGAAGTATTTATTTACCTTTTTGTATTAACCCTTTTTTTCAAAAGCCACATTTTTTGGCCTCATTTCATATAAAGGAAGGCCGTTGTATATATACTGTGTTGAGACGGAAATTGTATATAGCTTCATAAATAGCCCATTCTGTTTACATACATTGATATGTTATCAAAATAATTGTTTATTCTTCACAGTGAATTATTTGCTCACATTTGATTATAGATTATGAAATATTTACTGTATGAAAATAAAACCTACTTCAAATGAAGTGAATTGTCTCTTGTCATAAACTATGTTCTGCTTATATGTTATAAATGTTTGTCAATGAAATCAAATAATTTATCAATACTGAATGATTGCCAACGAATCTTTACAAAAGAAACAAGATATGGTGAAAAAACACTGCTGTAACTTATTTCAAAACATATAATTTGTAAATTCAACGTTGATGTATTAATTAATGGACATAAAATGTATCAATAATTACAAATGACTGTGTACAAACATTTTTATTTGGAATATTATAGACTATAAACCTGTAGCTATAAGAACTGAACAGCTATAAAAAGGATACACCGAAAATAATCTTTCAATAAAATTTATTGATAAATGACTTCAATTAAACGGGATGGTTATTTTTTCTGAACTTTCTCTGTAACATATTAAAATCTAGTGAGCATTCATATATGCATAACATATGTTTATAATTATAATATATTTTACCTTTCAAGGTTCTGAACTGTTTAACCTCTACTTAAGACCAGTCTATCAACCAGTTAAGAAATGGTTGACTCGCTTATTTAATAAAACTTGAATAAAACATTTACTAAAGTGAATATTAAACCTAGGATAAGAAATCACAAATACTGTCAAAAGTAATTTATTTACCATAAATTAAACCATATAGAATGAAGATTAATGTTTAGTAAATGTTTTATTTGACTCTCATTAAAGAAATTGAAATTGTCACGCAATATACGTCACAACAGGTGTATCATCTATGGGACTGTATAACATTTTTTTGTGACAATTCTATATGTGAAAGTAGTCTAGATTTTGATTTCAATTATGTATGAATTGAAAAAGAAATTTAAGATTTATATTTCCTATGGGAAAAATTTATAGCTGAATTAGAGTTTCGATTACATATGAAAAAACGGGTCACGAACTCCGCTAATAGAGAATATTTGTTTAATTTTAGTGATTATGTAGGTCTAATATATGTCACTGAAAAGTGAGAATATTAAAATATTTTTATGAGCGCAAAGATTTCATGTAGAAGTGACATATGTCAAATATTTACTCTAAAGAAACAAATTTTCTGTATATTTTACCCGTATGTTTTAACTTTTGCATTAAAACTATAGTCAGCCATCATCAAAATTGGTACAAAATGACGCTCGTATTTATATGTGGTTACTATGACGTCGTGAAATTATTATCCGTCGTCTTGCTTTTTACTCATATAAAGAACTGAATTCAAAATTGTATATTTCACTTAGCATATAACTTATATCTCACTGATATACATTGTATTTGCTCGAAGTAATTCATAAGCTAAATGCGTTGCATAGAGCCATCAACCTCCTTTCTATTCTACATTACGTGTAATTCAGTTAGTGTAGAAACTTATGTCTGATCCTTTCTTCTATTAAACATACAAAATTTACCACATTTACCAAAATAATTTCCGTATCTTTAGAAAACCCGTCCTACAGCATGGTCGCGTGCGAAAGAAAAAACTTCCCGCTGATTACGTGCAATTTATCTTTCAAAGATCTAACAAGATAACATTCCATAAACAGGTCTAATTATATCAAAATCAGATAAACTTTAACAGCAAAATATGTTGGTTGTGACTTCTAAAGATAAATAGAGAAAAGTAAAAGAAAAAAACGTTTGGAGCAGTTTTTACACTGTCTAAAATCATCCTGAAAATTTCGCATATCATGTAATTTCGTCTCTATTGTCTGTCAATCCTTTTAAAACCGAGCAAATTGATTTACAAAAGGAACTGACATTACATTATATTGTTGCTAAAATACACGTAACTGCGATAAATTGGAGGAAAAAAACATTTAAAGAACATTGAGCACTTTGTGTTGACTAAGTTATTAAATCAATAATATATATGAGACATAGTGAACATGTATTTGAATGACAATGCACACAGTGACTATTTGAATGACAACGTACACAGTAAAAAACTGGAAAACAAAGTGATCCCTCGGAAGCATTAATCACAACAGAAGTACGTGAAAATTGCAGACTCGGTTTGATTGAGTCTGTACATGAAGGATTATAAATAAGTGCAGTAACCCTCATGCCCCCCTAGCACCGGCTTGAGCGGTACTCAATTCTGAACACTTAATAGTGCTGGTCTAAATGATTATGTTGAGTTACTAAATACATGGATGTATATGCACATAGTGAACACGTATAATTTAACGAGTGATGAATGACAATGCACATCGGAAAAAGTCGGAAAAAGTCACAACAACGGTGACATATTATATATATATGCAGTGATTTCAAAATAACACACTTTGTATGAATTGCTAGTTAAATTATCTTTTTGTTTATACTCGTGCATTCAGACATTTTTGTATTTGCAAAAAAATATATACAGTACCATTTTACCATATGTCAATATCTATATCATTTAAAATATTTTTTTTGACCCTTGCCACTTTGTATAGCAGACGTACACTTTTTTATTTTATACAAATGCATTGTGAATGTGGGGGATTTCAGTATCTAGGCAACAACCAGTTTAGTTTCACCTGACAGAGTAAGCATATATGCACACAGGCTGGCCTGACTAAAAGTAAGTCATTGTAGCCACCAACATTCAACGTATATATTGGTCTAGTGTGTCAGCTAGCTTACGGTTTGCATTACAAAATACTTTTAACTTAAATGTTACACTGCACACCGCCAATACAAAGTTTTCCCGTATGAAGTATAATTGTTTATTTCAAATTGTACGTAATTCTGTTTGATGCAGTATAATTTAACAAATACTTGATAAAAGTACGAACAATTTGCTAACTTTTGACACCACTTTATTCAAACAGATAAAGCTATTTCAAAGATGATGCGAAATAAGATATTTTACTAAATAAGAACGTTATCGTGGGAATAAACGAACATCATCTAAAAATCAAGACCGATTGAATAAATGACGGGAATAAAAACCATATTGGCAAGAAGTTTTAATTCTTTCTAATGATTTCAACTATCCAGTTTATCCATGAATAAAGAAAGCCTGTGGATAATTGTATGTAAGATAATAATGTGTCGACGCTGTTGTAATTATGACTCAGCATCCATATCAACGCCCGAATGTTTTTGAATAAGGACGAAACGTCCAATATATAAAAAAAGGAAAAGAAGAAGTTATATGGCTGAAATCATATGTGGCCCTGTCGAATAGCTTTATTTGTTTGTACTTTTATACTTATGTTTTGAAAGTTTATATTTGCATGGCATTTTAATAATGTTTGTTCAAGTAAATAGTATTTTGTTGTATATTATGTTTTACATGTTTTACAATTCGGAACACATATATTTTCTATTAATATTTCGTAAAAGTGGTTATACAAGTACTGCTTTAAGTTGTAAAACATAGGTTCTTTAATGCATTTTCTTTTCACAAATGCTTGTTAAGTTATTTGACCTGTCAAAATTACTGTACACACATTGACAATTGTTCACATAGTAGTGTGAACGAACGGTTTACAATTTTATTTCATGTAAGATGTTGGCACGTATTTCATAGGTAATTAATGGCAGTTACATGTCCAGCTATTCAACACATATCTTAATAAGTAATTAGCGAAATTTTTGTTGCAAGTTAATGTTGTATAACATCGTCCTGGTCACGTGAAGTGTCGCCTATAGCATTCCATAAATACGTAAGTATTAATATGAAATGATTATGATCGTTAATAAAATCTTGATTTATAATACAAAGATGTTAACATGTTTGTATGAAAAAAAGCATAATGTCTTTATATAATATGAAATACTATCGTAAATTATGACTTTCATCGTTTAGAATTGTCTCGTAAATATCAAAATAGTTTACTTGTACAAAGGCAATAAACATAAGCTATTGAAGAATGTTTTCATATTGTCACTGTACCGAAAGGGAAAATTTGCGTTTCTGAGCTAGATCCAAAAGCCTTGTATCTACTTTGGTCAGACTAAATAATTAGATACACATATGGAAAGCCTTTACATGTATTTTATTGCAGAAACATGGCATTTTCCCATAAAACTGACATTAACCAAATTAACACGATAACATCACAAAATATTTAAATCCATTTCGTTTATTTTATATAACCATTTTCGCGGTAAAACAGATTCATTCGTTTCATTCTGAATAAAGGATGCATCGGTCCTTGCGATACAAGGTCCTTTAAGTTTATCCACGCGTTGATTTTTTTCAAAATGCCAAATAAAATACATTTGAACTGGCAAACAAATTTGAATACCAAATCATGTCTATTTGACCTGGTTTTACAAGTTTAATACATTTTTAATATATTTTCTTATTATAATTCAATCTTAATTGAAAACTTTGTAAAGGTTTACTGTGCTGTCTCACGACAGAAAATTAAATGTTTCGCCCAGTTAACATTAAATGTAAATAAAATGCCATAAAATGTCAAAAATAATTTAATTTAGGTGAATAACATTACATTCCATGAGATTTACTTTTTTTAATTGATTTAGGGTCATATGTAAATCAACCCTTACTAAAAAATATAAACTATCATGCAATGCTGCTTAACTTGCCTTACGATATCTTGGTTAGTATGGTACAATATTCAAGTTAACTCAAATTGTTGCGAATATTGAAATTTAGAAATTATTGAAATTCACTATGTATTAAGACGTGTTTCATCCATTTGTTAACACTCAATGATTTGTTTAAGTACGTTATAGGTCTTATCTGTATGACTACCGACAGAAGGTGACATTCTTGTGGGGGAAAGCAATAATGTCAGACAGGGTATGGAACCCGAATATCGGTACCAACGACTATACACATGCTAGCTATAGGCAGCGTCCGTGCATGAAATAATTCTACCTTTCTGACAGGAATCTAACTGATCTTAGGGCGTTCTTGCATACTTGCAGTTTTAAGTATAGTTGGGCCTATATTTGTGCGTACATTATTAGAATCATAGCGTGCATGACTATTTAACAATATTTCCGGGCTAACGAGAATGATATATAGTAAGCATATAAATCTAAATATA